GGGCTGCGCGCGGCTCGGCGGGGGCTGCGCGCGGCAAATCCGGGCTGCGCGCGGCTCGACGGGGCTGCACGCGGTTCGACGGGGCTGCACGCGGCTCGCTGGGGGCTGTGCGCTGCGCTGACGGCGTGTGAGGGGCAGCAGAGCGGCGCGAGCAGCGAGGGCGACGCTTGAGGCAGCAGCGGGCAGCGTGCGTTACTTAGGTCTGCGCGGTAGCAGCAGCAGACAACACAGTAGGCAGCAGGCAGTAGGCTACAGGCAGACGGCGCGCGCAGCGCAGCACGTCACAGGCAGAGGCACAGGCGTGGGGTAGCGGTAGGTGGGCCCGAAAAAAAAAAAAACCGGTCCTACGGACCTACTGCTCTGAAACCATGTCAGAATCTAGAGACAAGAATGAATGCATTGATCAAGAGTTGGGTACATAAGCTAACCCTAACATTGGGTTGTACCCCATATGGGCTACCCCACTAGCAGCCTACACAAACACAATATGCATTGTTTGACAGGCCCCTTGGGTGTCATCATGTCTTAACAAGGCAGCGAAAGTGTGTGTGTGTGTGGGGGGGGGGTAGAATAGTAGGCACGATGAGGTGCCATAGCTAGGTAAACCCTAGCTAGGCAAGAGAGAAATGAGCAAAGGAGGGGTTTCACTAGCTGCAGTTGGGATACATATAGCAAACCCTAACTGGGTTGTACCCGCTATAGAGCACCCCACTACAGGCTAGATAATAACATTCTGACACACCCCCATAGCCAAAGTGGGGTGTAATCAGCACAATGAGCAAGCATAGCAGGAGTTCACAATAATAAGCAAAGCTAGAGGTAATCACAGCGGGCAAGTGAGGAGGAGGAACTGTGGAAGGAGAGAAGATGGGAGGCAACGACTGAAGCTGCAGAGGCACGGGCACAGGAGCGGCTGACTCAGTGGCTACCGAAGCAAGGGCGACGGACTACTGGAGTGACTGGCTCCGCGGCTAAGACGAGCGGCAGGAGCAACGGACCCACTGGCAACTGGTGCAACAGGCTCACTGGCTACCGAAGCAAGGGCGACGGACTACAGGCGCTGCAGGCGACACGACAGCTACAACTGACCCACACCCTTGACACACACCCCCTGCTGAACCCCTAACTCCACTCCCACGTCACCCCCCTAGCACCACTCCTTCGGCTCCCCACACACCCACCCCCCTCAGCGGCAGCTGTAGCAGTGGGAGACGGAGGAGGAGGAGGAGCAGGGGACGGCGCACACTCTTGCACCCCCATAACCGCCACCCCCACACTCGCCACCCCCAAACCCTAAAACGGGTGGCACGGGGCAGGAGCGCGGGGGACGGCGCGGGGGACGGCGCGCGGCCCTGGGGCAGGCTGCCTGGGCCGCGCGCGGGCCTGGCGCAGCCCGTACGGGCCGCGCGCGGGCCTGGCGCAGCCCGTACGGGCCGCGCGCGGGCCTGGCGCAGGTCGCGCGGGCCGCGTCGGGCGACGGGGGGCGACGCGCGGGTCCGCGGGCTCCGTGACGGGCGACGGGGGGCGCTTCGACGGGCGACGGGGGGCGCTTCGACGGGCGACGGGGCGGTCGACGGGAGGGGGGGAAGCGCGGGTCCCCGGGGTGACGCACGAGGGAGGAAACCGCCGCGCGCCTCGGGGCCACGGCGGGCGCGGCGGGAAGAAAAAACGAACATCGCGCGCCACGGGACGCGCGACACACAGGAAGGCAGCGGAAGCAGGCGGGCCCACAGGCCAGGAGCGTAACCGCTCTGATAGCATGTTAGAATAGTAGGCACGATGAGGAGCCATAGCTAGGTAAACCCTAGCTAGGCAAGAGAGAAATGAGCAAAAGAGGGGTTTCACTAGCTGCAGTTGGGATACATATAGCAAACCCTAACAGGGTTGTACTCACTACAGAGCACCCCACTACTGGCTAGATAATAACATTCTGACAAGGGGGGGGGGGGGTGCGTGCGTGCGTGCGTGCATGCGTGCGTGCGTGTGCGTGCATGTGTGCGTGCGTGTGTATGTGTGTGTGTGTGTGTGTGTGTGTGAGTGTGTGTGTGTGTGTGTGTGTGTGAGAGAGAGCATACGTGCACGCAAGCATGTGTGTGTGTGTGCATGCGCGTGTGTGTGTATGTGTGGGTGTGTTTATGCTTTTTCTTTCTTTGTCTTTTAGCCTAACGTTCAAGTCCACCACGGTGCTTAGTGGTGCTTTGAAACTGGCTGATGCTCATGTGATCTGACGGTGCGGCCTACTGACGCCCGAATACCTGGGTGGAATGCCGACCTGATTCAGCTGGTGGAAGTGGCAGTATGTAACTCAAACGGGAAATACGTTACAGCTGGTTCAAAAAGCGGCGAATTTTGTTGAGCATCTTGCTTTCTTTTAGTGAAATAGTACGATATGACTAGTGCAACCACTAAGTACTTATTACTTATCCTCTGACTCCTCATACCCATCGATCCTGTTGCATAGATAGCTGCAATGAATCTAGCCTCCTTTGCAAGGTTCTCCCTTGCAAAAACATCGACTGCAAAGATGAATGAGACATCAGGTTATGTCTTGTTCAGGTTTCTCATGAGTTGCATGCAGAGAGATGTCGTCTAAGTCATCAAGCGCAATTGAAGAATTTGCCGTTCTGATGAGGTCAGCCAATATGGTTCTCCAGAGTATGAAAATCCACTTCAACACAAAGAGGGCTTCCTTAAGTTGGTTATCGAAGATGTAAAGGAATGGCCATGGTGGTGTTTGTGAACCACACGTTGAATGCTCACCGACTCGATGTATCCCAAGGCATGGAACATTTTGAAACGATGCGAGGTACTATGTGCAGTTGTTGTCTGCTTCAGTAATCACAATACAAGAGTAATCAACGAAGTTCGATGATAAGAAGTGAACCACAATACACGGCAAGTCAACCTGTTCGATCGTTTTCTAACTTGCACACAAGCCATACCGAGGGTTCACCTGCGCTGATTACCTAAGAATGACATGGTTAATTTGCACTCAAAGTGACATGGTGTGATTGTCGAAACATGCAACTATGCAACCCACAAATGAGGAGGCGTTTTCTTAACCCTTTAAATAGTATTATGCTGTGATTCATTGTACCGTACATCGCACTGCACCGCATTCCTTGTACGCGGGTCATCATCCTTCTTTCACCCATTCACCTCCATTTCAGACCTTTGTTTTCCGTCCCCACTATTGCTAGGTCTCACGCAGGTGTCAGCTCACACAGCTTTCCTAATTTCGGTGCTTTCGCGAATGTCACATCTCTCCGCGCTTGCCGCACGACGCCACCGTAGCCGAGTCCGGACGTCGCATAGCCCCGCTGGCGACGCTTTGTGCGACCCGGTGCGAGGGAGCGCGACGTCGCCGCGGTCGCGACACTGGACAGCGCACACCGGCGGCACGAACCTCGAAGTTGCCGCGACCGCTTCCGCCGGTACCATCTCATCGACGCCGGCAAATAGTATTTCCAGCGATGTAGGCCCGTCCAGCGACATAGAGTTTGGTCGCGCGGTTGAGCGCGGCGAGTTGCTTCCTTGGAAGGAGCGGCTGAAACAGAGGCAGCTCGAAGCGCGTCAGAGCCATCGCGAATCGCTGCAGGTGGGACCGAGGCCGCATAAGTATAATAGGCGTGTTTTTACCACACCGGTATCTTCGCAAATCGCTGCAGGTGGGACCATTTAATACGTGATTTTCCAGCTTCTCATAATTACGAGGCTATTTCACAGTTTTCAAACCATTATATTTCTCTTCCATCCACGTGACGCCACGTGACGTCAGCTCTCTCTTTGTTCTCCCCTACCCCTTCTCTCCCCCACACCAGGGACCCGCGCTGCAGGCGCGCCTGCGCCTGGACGAGCGCCTGCGCGCAGCAGGGTTCCGCCCTCCGCCCAACCTAGAGGAACCTCCGCGGCTTCCCCCAGGATCAACGTCCGCAGCCTTCTCTCGGCCAGTAGTATACGGCCACGTGGGAGAGGGTTCCATGATGGCTGCTGCGGTTATGACTCCCAGAAGCATCGGCCAATTAGATGCTTTGCAGGCGGCTGGCAGGGTGTTTGCAGACGACCACACCTCTAGAGTTAGGGCGTTTTGTACTACTACCCGTAGTGGGATGGGAGCACGGTCGGGAGAGGGTGGGGGTAGAGCAGGAGGAGGGGGAGAAGAAGGGGAGAGGGGAAGAAATGACGCGCGAGGTGTTGATGGGAGGGAGAGGGTTGAAGTAGGTGGAAGTAGCCACAGCAGCAGCAGCAATAGCAGAAGCCTGAGGAAGCAGAGCGGACGCAGCAAGGAAGCAAGTGTTTCCGGTGCAGACGAGGACATTGAGTTTGGTGGTCTCGATGGTGGGGGCTGTGACACGAGCAGCAGGAGTAGTAGAAGCAGCAACAACAGCAGCACGAGCAGTAGCAGCAGTAGGAGCAGGATCAGCGGTGTTAGCAGCAGCAGCAGCAGCTGCAGCAGCAGTGGTAGCAACAGCAGAGGCCGGAGTAGCAGCAGCAGTCACGAGCACAGCAGCAGGCACGTTGGTGGGGAGAGCAGGCAAGCACAGCACAGCAGGCATCAGCGGCACGGTAGCAGCAGTAGACATGCAAGTAATAGTGCCAGCAGGGAAAGGAACAGCAGCCAGAGCCACCACCATCACCACCACCACCATCACCATGACCATCACCGTCATCACCAGCAGCAGCAGCATCATGAAAGTCGCAGCAGCAGCGGTAGCAGCAGGAGCAGGAGAGGCAGCAGTAGTCATGGCTCTAGTGGGGCTGTGGAAGGGATTAGTGGCTGCAGCACAGTGGGCGATTCAGCACAGCACAGCACAGGATCAGATTTTGCTGGATTTGCAGCTGGTGGTGATGCTGTTGACAATGCGTGCGATGGCATGCAACGTTTGGCACTCTCACATTCTGATAGATTCCATTCGGACAAGGGGAAAGGGAAGGATGCTATTTCCAGTCGTGCTGCTGGCGATGCAGCAAGTGATACTGAGGGAGATGAGGATGAGTTAATGGGTATTGCGGATGGGCAGGAGTGCATCGTGTGTCTGGAAAGCATGGGGAATGGAGCCCGACTGATGTGGTTACCATGCGCACATGGTTACCACCATGATTGCATTATGCCGTGGATTATGGGAGGGCATTCAAGCTGCCCCTGCTGCCGCCACCCTTTATAGTGCTCGAATGCCATGTAGTGTACAGAGTGCAGCTATTTCAATGCGCCTACTATATTTACATCCTATTTTTTGTCACTACTTGAACTAACATGGCTAAGGGGCATGTAGCACAGAGGACGATCAGCAGTTTTCGTTTTGCTCAATTAAATTTCCACCCTATATACTTTTCTTCTTACATGTCAACACTGCTGTGCATCCTTTTGGCTTCTTGGTTATGCTTCCGAAAGTTCGGCGTCAGCCACCCGTGTATCTTTCCGACAAGCAGCGTATCACGTCACCATCGCGCGCGTTGACGCAGCAGTCTGCCTCGGTGTCCAGCTGGCAAAGCATTGGCCGTTCAAGGACCCTCACATGCCAGCGAGGTGGGCCATCTCCTCAAAGTCATCCCCTAGATTCCTCCACATTCCAGGAACCAGAGAGCTAGCGTGGCACAGCATTTGTGAAATGGATGAAACTTGACTTCCCAAGCCTCATGGTGCCTTGCCTTGCCTTCCCTGTAAATCCTTTTCCAACACCAAAAAATCTCCCAGCACAGCTGACATTGTACCATCGTCATTTTCCAGGCTTGTAGTAGGACGGGGACTAACTTGATTCTCTTAGCTTACAAGGCGTTTCAGCTTACATTCAGCGTTGCTTGACGTCTAAAGGTACAGAGATGTCGTTCCGTCGGGTGTTGCACCACGTGTGGCTGCCTGTTGCCGTCCCAATGTTGCTTGGGTTGTAGCTTATAGAATATAGTGCTTCAGAATTTTGATTATATGGGCTATTTTCGTTCTAATGCCATGGCAGTCGACGCGTAGTCTTCTTGTGATGTGATTTTTTTCTCCCTATCCGCATCAACTTGAACCGTTGAAACTCCAGTTTTGACACAATTTCGTTAACTCTCCCTTCCCAGTTTCATTGTTCTGGAACCATACGAACTTTGTGTGAATAAAGCTCGTGAGTCATATCATAAGATTTTATCCATTACCTCCTCTTCCTCTTGCTCTTTCGTGTTATATTCCTGTTCGCCTGACCAGATGGCGACTCAGCTGTGCTGCGCGCCTGCCGCCAGCGGCGCGCTTTCCGTGCCATCCGCGTTACAGGCAAATGCGACATCCGCTACCAGCGCAAGCGCCAGTCTGTTCCCGTCACATACAGGCCTGCACCAGTTGCGCCGGCCGGCGCACACCGCCTCCTCCGCTGCCATTCTCCCTGAGGTGATTAATCTATGGTTAATCCTATGTAACATGATTGGTTGGCGCGGTCGCCATAAACTGTTACCTAAAGAAACAATCGCTGGCTTCTCTTACATGAGCGTTACGTGACGACTATATTCTGAGAACTTAGCCTCTTGTGTCTGCAGCGAATTCGCTCGCTCCACTGTATCCCATCCGACTTGCCTTCCCCGCATTTTCTCCCATTCCTCTCTCATTGTGTAACGTGCGGTGCGAGTGCAGCGCAACGCGGGAAAGAAGCAGAGGCAGAACCAGAGGAAGAAAGTGCTGGGGGTGCGAGCAGCCGTCGCACAACAGCAGCCAGAGGCACCGGTCGTTAAAGAGGTCAGTAACAAGCTCCTGCTGAAAGTGCTGAACGCCTGATGCTGCTGAAAGCGAGCTAGATATTCAAGAAGCACGATGGCGACTGTCTTTTGGGGTGGAAGAGGTGTCACTTTCCCCGTTAACCAACCGGATGTCGCGTGGGGCTTCTCAGAACGCTCTTCTCAGGACGCCGTTCTTTCGGCATCGCTCTTAGGGAGGACGTGCGTTTGATGCTCTGCAGCCATCCGCGCCACATCGCCATCCGCAGGAGAAGGACGTGCCGTTGATGCGCCTGATAGACGACACCTTCACTCTCCCCCCCGTTCGCCTTTCCGAATACCCTCCCTCCTTTCCTCCCTCCTTCCCGCCCTTTCCTCCCCCCCTCCCCGTTTCCCTCCCTTTCCCCCACCCTCCCTCTCTCCCCTCTCCCTGCACCCCGCCCCATCCCACGCTCCCCCCTCCCCCCCTTCCCCCGCCGCAGGAGAAGGACGTGCGCGCGGTGAGGCTGACGGACGACACGTTCACGCTGCGCGGGCGGTGCTACGAGCGGTTCAAGTTCGAGGTGGAGTACGGGCTGCGCGCCGGCACCACCGAGAACAGCTACGTCATCGAGGGCCCCCTGGGCGCCGCGCTCATCGACGTGCCCGACAGAGCCTTCGCGCGCGCGTTCGTGGACGCGTTCGTGCGGGAAGCCAAGGACGCGGAGCACCTCGCTTACCTTATCATCGGGCATCTGAGTCCGAAGCGGGTCGATAGTGTCATTCAGCTCGCCAAGACGCACCCAGCAGGCGGTGAGTGAGTGAGGGGAGTGGTAGAATAGAATTGATGCTCCAGCAGGGGATGAGCGAGTGGGTGGATGGAGGGCCACCAAAGGGGAGGCGATGGTAGCTGGGTAACATGGATACATGATGCTCGGGGTGAGCGAGGATAGTGCACGTGTGAGATGTGTCACAAAAAGCCACAACCAGATCACACCTTCACTTTCCACCTTCGGTGCCATGCCTCTCAAGTCTTACCCCTCCCCTCCCGCCCAACCCGTTCCCCCTTTCCCACTTCCTGTTCGCATCCGTTTCCCCTCCCCTTCCTGCCCCCAGAGCCGCCCATCAAGGTGTTTCTGTCCAACCCGGCGCACCAGACGCTCACTTCCTTAGTACCAGCGGACATCCTGGAAGCCACGTTTGACCTGCAGATCGTGCGAGCGGGGGACACGCTGGACCTGGGCGACGGGCACAAGCTGCAGTTCATCCTCACGCCCACGCCCCGCTGGCCCGACGGGCTCTCCACCTACGACCCCAAGACGCAGCTGCTCTTCACCAACAAGCTTTTCAGGTCCGGTCGGGGAGGGGGAGAGTTATTGCAACCAGAAGGCTCTTTGCTCTCTCTCGCCCCCCCCCACTCACGCCCACGCCCCGCTGGCCTGACGGGCTCTCCACCTACGACCCCAAGACACAGCTGCTCTTCACCAACAAGCTCTTCAGGTCTGGTCGGGGTGCCTTGTAACGAGTATTCTCTTTGCTCTCCTCTCCCCACTCAGTCGCCCCGCTGACTCAATGGGCTCTCCACCTACGACCCCAAGACGCAGCTGCTCTTCACCAACAAGCTCTTCAGGTCAGCTTTGGCAGCCTGCTCGGAACTTTCAGGTTTGGGAGCATCCCAACCAGTGTTCGGTGCCTTTTTGCCAGTAGGCTCTTCCCCCCTCCTCTGAATCCCCGCGCCCACGCCCTTTCAGGTCCGGGTGCCTTGTCTTGTAACCACTAGGCCCTTCAGATGTGAGCGCGCTTGTCCGCGTACGCATATACGTGAGAACTTTAGTTTGGTGTTGGCAGCATAGAGGGGTATGGGCACACTTACACTCTCACTCTCATCCCTCTCACTCCCCACTTCCCTCCCCCTTTTCTTCCCACTCACGCTCCCCCCCTCCTTCTCATAGAGGGGGATGAAGGCACACTCACGCTCTCACACTCACACTCACACTCTCACTCTTCTACCCATCCATCGTGTCCCAATCCTCCATTCCCCCCTCTCTCCCTACTCCCCACCTCCCCTCCTCCCCTCTTCCTCCCTCTCCCACGCCCCGCCTCTCTCAACCCCTCTCCACCACTCCGGCCACACAGCGCGCATGTGTGCAAGGGGGAGGACTTTGACGTGGGAGGCATAGAGGTGTACGACATGCACTGGCGCTTCTTCTATGACTGCATGCTCGCCCCCGTCGCCAAGCAGGTGCGCCCGCATGCTCGCCCCGCTGAACTGTATGCTCTTGTCTCTGGCTCATGCTCTGTCACCAAGCACATGTGCTCCTCCTGTCGCCCCTCACACCCTCATCCCCCCTCCCTCACCTTCAAAGACACCGTCACCCTTGGTTCACCCTTCTCACCGTCACCCTCTCAGCCAGCCCCCCTCTCTCACTCGTCATTCTCCCCTCGCTGCCGTTTCTATCTCAGGTGGACGCAGCCCTGAAGAAGCTCCCAGTGGTGGCCCAGTTCGCGCCACCCTGCTACGCGGGCAAGACAGGCCTGGACGTCGTCAAGGTGAGCTGGTGGTTACCACACCATGTTGCACTTCATTCTTCTGCATGCCAGGCCTGGTTACCACTATCTGTTGCGCTGAGCTGGTGTTCCTGTCTCCGGCTTTTCAGTCGACTCAGAATCCACCTTTTCCACTTTCCCCTCCTCTTTTCCCAACCTCCGGCACGACTCCTTGAGAACCCATATAGACTCATCATACCCTTGTATATGAGCTGGTGTACCATTCTCCTCAATTACCCTCCATCCTCGCCCCTTCCACCATCACCACCACCACCATCCCTCTCCATGCCCCCGCAGGCGGACGTGGGGTTTATCTTCTCGCATATCCTCTCAGCGCTCAACCTTGACATCCCCCCATCACAACCACTCTCCGAATTTTATTCGGCTCGAATTCCATTCCTCCCTCCACTACCCTCTCTCTTCCCCCACCTCTTGCCCACCCCTCCCATCATTCCTCCCCTGCAGGCCGACGTGGGGTTCATCTTCTCGCGCATCCTCTCAGCGCTCAACCTTGACATCGGCACGGCGGCCAACCTGCGCCTGAAAGTGGGCAGCGATAAGAAGGGCGCCGTGCCGGGTGTGGGGGGCGAGCCACTAGTAACTGCGGCCATCTGCCCCCTGCACGGCCCCATCATCCGCAACAGCGTGACCGAGCTCGTGCGCGAGTACAAGATTGTGAGTTGGGGTTTCATTTGGGGCGTCAAGAATGTATGGGTGGGCTATTCAGGACGCTAGCAAGGGTGCCGTGGTAGGGGTTAGCTAGTTTCTGATCATGCCTGTCTTTTCTTCTACCCTTTGTTGACCTGTGGCCTCCTTTTCCCGCCCCACCTTAACACCCAACTCACTTTCTTTCCGTCTTTCCCCTCCTGCCAGTGGACGGATGAGAAGATCAAGCAGGCGGAGGAGGCCACAGTGGCCGTGTTCTATGCATCAGCCTATGGCAACACCTCCGCTCTCGCACAAGCCATCAGGTACACCGCACAAACCTCCCCCTTCACTTTTGCACAAGCTCATGAGGTAACACCACCCCCTCCTTCCTCAAGTTCATCAGGTAACATATCACCTCTGCCCTTCCCCCCCAAATATCCCTCCCTTTGCTTGCCCTTTCCCCCTTGTACCTTCATGCCCTTTTTCCCCTCCGTCCTTCCCTCCTTCCCTCCCCCCCCCGCCCCTCCTTTCCCTCCTTCCCCTCCCCCCCCCCGTCCCTCCTTTCCCTCCTTCCCCTTCCCCCGCCCCCCTCCTTTCCCTCCTTCCCCTTCTGCCTCAAACTTGTTGCCCCAGTCGTGGGTTGCTGAGGGCAGGAGACAATCAACTGCGAAATGGCATCAGTGGCAGAGCTCAAATCCGCCATCCAGCGCTGCTGCGGCTTCGTGTTGTGAGGCACCCAAGAAACTGTTACCTTCAGCTCGAACACCCAAACCTTACCCTCCCCACCCCCCTCTCCCCTCTCCCCCACCCCTCCCCCCCATTCTCTCCCCCTTGCCCTGTTCCGCATGCCAGTCGTGGGTTGCTGCGGGCAGGCGTGGGAGTGGAAACCATAAACTGTGAGATGGCGTCAGTGGCGGAGCTCAAGTCCGCCATCCAGCGCTGCTGCGGCTTCGTGTTGTGGCAGCCCCACGCTCATAAAGGAGGCACTCGGTGTCCCTTCCTCCACCCCGAACCCCCATCTCTTAACCATTCCCCCCTTCCCTCCCCCGTATTCGCCCCCTCCCATCCCCTCCTCCTTCCCCTCGCCCCCTTCTCCTTCCACCAGTCGTGGGCTACTGAGGGCGGGCGTGGGAGTGGAGACCATCAACTGCGAAATGGCGTCAGTAGCCGAACTGAAGTCCGCCATCCAGCGCTGCTGCGGCTTCGTGTGTGGCAGCCCCACGCTGGGCGGCCACATGCCCACGCCCATGAAGGAGGCGCTGGGCGTGATTCTCAACGAGCCCGCCGCCAAGGGCAAGCCCACGGGCGTGTTTGGGTCGTTTGGGTGGAGTGGGGAGGCGGTGGATGAGATGGAACAGTTGCTCAAGGATGGAGGGTTCTCCTTCGGATTTCCCCCAATTCGCTGCAAGTTCAAGGTGAGGAGGCGTGTGTTGGGGCTCTCAAAGGGTGTTTGGGTCGTTTGGGTGGAGCGGGGAGGCCGTGGATGAGATGGAGCAGTTGTTGAAGGACAGAGGGTTCTCCTTCGGATTTCCCCCTATTTGCTGCAAGTTCAAGGTGAGGCAAGATAACAGTGAAGGTTTGGATTTGCAATCCAGGTCTGCTGCCTGCAGATCGTCTCCTTTCCTAGGGACACCGCCAGTTGCCCTTCCTCCTGTCTTACCTGCCGTCCTGCCTCTCCCTCCCTCCCCCCCTCTCGCATCCCCATGCCTTACCCGTCCCACCCTTCTCTCCCATCCCCCCCTCTTTTGTGTGTTCCACCCCTGTCTCTCTGCCCCTGGGTGCCACTGCCAGCCAACGGAGGCGATGCTGCAGATCTGCGAAGAGAGTGGCCGAGATCTGGCCAGAGAGGTGAGTGCTCGCAACTCGCACTGCCCGCACACTGCTCGCACTGCCCATGCTGCAGGCACCATCAGCACTCTTTGCACTTTCCCTACACTTCTGAATGCCTCTTGATCTGTATTGTGAAGGCTTCGCCCTTCTCTGCATTCCACGCTGTTCTATGTATCCTTGTTATTGCCTTCACCTGTCTCTGCCTCTTTCCATCTCCTTCCACCGCACTCAGATCCGCAAGGGCAAGGCTAAGCAGCGCAGCACATCAGCCAAGTCAGCTGTGGTGTCTGGATCAGGAGTGGAGCAGGTTAGTCGCAGGAATGCTTAATCTTGTGCCACTTTTAGGAGTTTTCTTAAGCATCAGCCAAGTCAGCTGTGGTGTCTGGGTCAGGAGTGGAGCAGGTGCGTTGCTGGAATATCGTAAGGCATCTTTTGAAGCGCCTACAGAGTTTATGCACATGCTGAGCAGAGCAGTGCAGAGTGGTGCAGAGCAGTGCAGGGTGGTGCGGAACAGTGGAATTTCCACTCCATCTCCAACATGTCATCACGCTCACATTACCATGCATCTTGTTGTCTGTGCCAAGTCACCTTCAATCCACCCCCCCATCCCTTCAATCACCTCCATGACGTGGCACCCCCTGCATCTCCTCCACCGGCTCAACCCATGGCAGGCGGTGGGGCGGGTGGTGGGGTCGCTGTGTGTGGTATCAGCCATCAGTGGGGACGGTGACGCTCAGAGCGACATGCATGGTGCTGGTTGTGTTGACTCACCTCCATCCCCTCCTTCCCTGCATCCCTCCACCCTCTCCATTTCCTCCACTCCCTCTCTGCAGGCGGTGGGGCGAGTGGTGGGGTCGCTGTGTGTGGTGTCAGCCATCAGTGGGGACGGTGACGCTCAGAGTGCCATGCTCGCCTCGTGGGTATCCCAGGCCTCCTTCAACCCGCCTGGCCTCACCGTTGCTGTGAGTCCCTCCTCCCCTTGCCATGCCATGCCATGCCATGCCATGCCATGCCGTGCCATGCCATGCCATGCCATGCCGTGCTTTTGAGGCACGTCAAAAGATGCTCAGAGTGCCATGCTCGCCTCGTGGGTATCCCAGGCCTCCTTCAACCCTCCTGGCCTCACCGTTGCTGTGAGTTCATTCATCCTCCTCCATTTCATGCTGTACAATGCCATACCATTCCATGTGCCCCTGCCATATTATTCATCATTCTCTACCATGGCATACGCATATGATGCCATGCCCCCACCTTCCCCTGCCCGCACCTCGCCGTGCCCGCACCTCGCCATTGCGCCCACCTCGCCATTGCGCCCACCTCGCCATTGCGCCCACCTTGCCCTGTGCACACCGTGCCATTGCCCATCCCGTGCCCTCAGCGTGCTCAGGGACTCCCTCTGCCCATGCGCTCCCCTCCTCATCACCTCCACCTCTCTCCGTGCCCCAACCCCTCACCCCCCTCACAGGTGGCAAAGGAAAGGGCGCTCGAGTCGCTGGTGTTGGTGGGGGGCAAGTCCTCCCTGAGCGTGCTCCCCTTTCTCCTCCACATGCATCCTCCCCCTTCCCCCCATGCGACCGTCCCCCTTCCCCTCCCCCTCCCCCCCAGGTGGCGAAGGAGAGGGCGCTCGAGTCGCTGGTGTTGGTGGGGGGCAAGTCCTCCCTGAGCGTGCTCCCCTTTCTCCTCCACATGCATCCTCCCCCTTCCCCCCATGCGACTGTCCCCCTTCCCCTCCCCCTCCCCCCCAGGTGGCGAAGGAGAGGGCGCTCGAGTCACTGGTGCTGGTGGGGGGGAAAATAGCCCTTAGCGTGCTCCCCCTTGTCCCCCACACACCTTCCTCCTCCATGTGACCATCCCCCTTCCCCCTCTCCCCACCAGGTGGCGAAGGAGAGGGCGCTCGAGTCGCTGGTGCTGGTGGGGGGCAAGTTCGCCCTGAGCGTGCTCGGCGAGAAGAACGTGGGCGCAGTTTCCAAGCAGCTTCTCAAGCCGTTCCAGCCCGGGGAGCCCAGGTTCGGCGATATTCCGACCAAGCAGGCCAGCAACGGCGCCACCATCCTGGCAGATGCGGTGCGTGTGTGCATGGGATGCACGGTGATGCCTGGAGGACATGGATGCCTGGAGGACGTGGGATGCCTAGAGGACATGGATGCCTGGAGGACATGGGATGCCTAGAGGACATGGTGTTGTTTCTGTGGTCCCAGGTTCCCTGTGCTTGCGCATCTGCTCCTGTAGCAGATGTCTTTGAATGGACATACGAGCACTCCAGTGATTCAAGTTCCCATCACTTCCACTCTCTCCCGTTCTTTCCACGTCATATCTCCTACATGGAGTGCACGGTGCAAACGAGCATGGAGTCTGGCGACCACTGGGTCATCTACGCCAAGCGCACATGCTAACAAGTTTCCATTTCTCTCGCTGTCTCCTTCCAACAAATGTGTCAACTTGAAATTTCGCATCAGATCTCCTACATGGAGTGCACAGTGCAAACGCGCATGGAGACGGGAGACCACTGGGTTGTCTACGCCACCGTTGATTCAGGCGACGTCATGGTCAGTCCCTCTCCCTTGCTTCTGCACCTGCCTCTTCCTCACTCTCCCTTAAGCTACCTCTCTCTCCCTTACTCTCTCCTGCTCCCACCCCATGCACTCAAGCTGCCGTTCTCTTTCTCACTGCCAATAGTGTCTCTCAACTTTTCCCCTCCCTTGAAGCTTGTCTCTCTGGAGTGAGCATAGCATTGCAGGCCATGTCCATTCCTTGTAACCGCATGTTTTGCACATGTGGCTGCTGCTCGATCTTGTTACGGTGTCTCCTCTCTCGAGTCGTGATACGTCTAATATGCATCTCTCTATTCCCTCCAGTGCCGTGATCAGCTGGTTGCTTGCATAAGATGTCCCCTTACCTTAGCTCTGCATTTTGAAGGTACTCTGATTCATATTACTCCATTTCTTCCTGCCTGACCCGCTAACAGGACGAAAAGACCCTCACTGCACTGCACCACCGCAAGACCGGCAGCCGTTACTGAGAAGAACATCTGCATACTCTGGTTGGTTGCTGTTGTGTTCACCATAGCACCTTGAACCCGAACGTTTGTGTTTGCGTGATATATGATCTGCTACGACTTGTTTTGTTCTGTTTTCAATCATCAGCAGAGCATTGGTGTGGTGCCGTTTGTACCAATCGGATAAGTTATTATCGCGGGGAAAAAGTGATAATGTGTGCCCCCTAAGACTACAGATGTTTTATTGTTTTCTAAATGGTATGTACAGATAGGCTCGCAGTTGCCATTTTCGCCTAAAGCAGGTCGACCTGGAGCCTGAATATTGGGGAAAATATGCCACAAGTAACACACAGTGGCATAGAAAATTCGTTTGGTAAAAAAAAGCAGTGTACGGTCACTGAAAAGGGTGTTTTCACGGGAGTGATAATAGGGTTCACGTAATCAGTCACTATTTGCTGGCGGAATTTCACGTGAATGGTCACACATGAAACTCCCGCCAAAAATAAATGAAACTCCCGCCAAGTACACATGAAACTCGGAAATTTTCCCGCTCGCGCAAAACCAACCAGTCAACTTTGAAAAAACTAAACCCAATCGGAAGCTGATACGATTTGGGAACGGATCAACCCTAAATACCAGGCAAGTTACGTGTTTAGGGTTAAACAATCCGAAAATGCATCCAGGTTCCTTTTGGGTATTAACTTTTCCGGGCGGGAGTTTCATGTGTGACCATTCGCGTGAAATTTCGCCAGCAAATGGTGACTGATTACGTGAACCCTATTATCATTCGCGTGAAAACACCCCTTTTCAGTGACCGTACACTGTTTTTTTTTACCAGACAAACTATCGAAACAACTGTATGTTACTTGTGGCATATTTTCCCTGAATATTGGGGAAGACTTTCTAGATTCGTCGTGGATCTTGGGGATTTGCTCGGTTGGTGTGTCGCGTCGCCTTAGCACTTTGCCACGGACCCACCTTATCCAGCGCCACATCATTTGACGCCATCGCTGACGGACCTCGTGGTGACTCCGCTGGTTCAGTTTGCTGCCGAGCCTAGGCAAGAAATTCGTGGTTCACGACGATGTTACCCTCAGCTACTCTTTTCGCAGATTACATTCAATTTTGAGGTACTTGCTGGTTTGACGAGGCTGATACTCCAGTTCGCTTTCGTCACGCTGTCGTGAGCCCAACCGTACTTGGCACGTGGCAGCATCACTTGAGTACGAGTGGCGGGAAGCTATCCATACCTTTCGCCGTGCCAGATTCATCGCTGGTTAGACGAAATTCCACGTCATGTTAGCGGTCGTCTTTCACGCCTCGACTTTTCTCATCCACCCGCACCGCATCCAGCTGCACCAACATCAAGGCCAGAGGCCCACCGCAAACAGAAATTTTCCTCCGCCTACCGCGGAAAGTCGCGCTGATTCAGAAGCCATCAATTCAGCTCCTCCCCGCTCGCCTCAAATTCTTGCGCTTCTGGCGGGTGCGGCTGCCCCCTATGCTGTGGTGAAGCGCTAGCAGTACGGCGCAAAAAAAAATATTTCCGCGACCTTTAGGAGGGGGGAGGGTCGGGAGAGAGGGGGGGGGGGTGTTTTGCTGCCTTGGGGTTGTGTTGTGGCTGGCGTGAGTCAGGACCAGCGCACGCTTTGTCACCCTCTCTCCCTCCCCCCCACCCCCTTCGCTGTCATACCCTCCCGCTGAGCTAAGCTCGACCCTTTTCGAACTCGCCTCGTCACTAGAACCAGTTCTTTACCTTTTCGTATCGAGTATCCAAGCCGCCGTTTCGAATTGCCTGATCAGCTCGGCACACTCGCCGTCTGGGGTTCGTTTCCTAGAGTGACTGCCTTAGCAATATCAGGATTTTCTAAAACAATTGCCGAAACTCCTTTTTTTTTGTCGGTGAGTTAGTTACTTTGTAGGCCACGTGGACTAGCGTCGTCCGAGCCATACATAAAAGATGGAACGCGTATTCTCAGTAGACGATATTCTCGGCACGTTTTGGAAAGTCGACGCACAGGGAGATGCGGCTGCGGCGGCTTCCGCCGCCGCTGCAGCTGCAGCAACCGGCGGAATGTTCCCCCCTCCCTCTATGCTCCCCCCGGGGGTCCCCTTCCCCGGCCATCCTCCCAGTGTAGGGGGGGCGGGCGGTGGCGGTAGTGAGTTACAGCGTCCTATACCGCGTACAGGATCGTTCCACCGTATGAACCGCAGCTCCTCGGAATGGGCTTTTCACGAATTCGTTAAAGAGCAGGGCCTAACCGGAGTGGGAGCACTAGGCGCCGCAGGAGCCGCCGCAATTGGCGGCGGGAACGCCGCCGGCGCGCCCGGTATGGGCCCGCCTGGAATGAACCCGTTAATTCCGGGTCTAAGCCAGGTTTCGAGTCTCGATAAGCTGTTAGGAGACAGTCCCTCGAAGCTTAATCTCGCGTCGTACTATCGCGGCTTAGACGGCGGAGCGGAAGGCGCGGGTGGCGCAGCGGGAGCGGGCGCAGGAGCGGGGGCGGGAGCAGGAAGCGGAGATGGCGCGGGGAAGCCGGGCGGAGATGCAGGCGGGGAACAACAACGGCTTGGGCTCAGCGGGTTAGGGAGGGCCTCTGGGGGGGAGGCGGGGGCAGGGGCGCGGACGGATACGGAGGCGGGCGCTGTAGCTGGCGGCGACGGCGGCGGCGGTGGCGGCGGCGCAGCGGCCTCTGCTCCCGCGGGGGGTTCGGCAACTGTTGGCGGCGCGGGATCGGCATCGGGCTTCTCCCCGCCGTCGGCGGCGCCCAGCATGGCTCTCGCCCCAGGCAGCGCGGCAGCAGCCGCAGGCGGCGGCGGCGGAGGCGGTGCGGGGAGAAGAGCAGCAGGGATAGCGAGCCCTCCCCGTCGTGGCTTCCAGGCCCATCCGCCCGCGCATAGACCCGCAACCCACGGCGCAACAGGCGTTACCGCAGCAGGGGGAGCAGCCGGCGGGGGAAGAGGAGGAGGGGGAGCAGCAGGGGCGGGGTCCGCGCGCGGGCTTTCCTCCCGCGAGGCATCGGAAGAGCCGCGATCCGACGGCGAGGGCGCGCGGTCTGAGGGAGAGTGTGAGTTAGTGGCGTCCTTAGAACACCTGACGGACCCGGAGGAGATTAAGAGGGTGAAGCGCATGCTGTCGAACCGCGAGTCGGCGCGGCGGTCGCGGCGGCGCAAGCAGGCGCACGTGAGCGACCTGGAGGGGCACGTGCAGCAGCTGCAGGCGGAAAACGCCAGCCTGGCGAGCCGCCTGGGGAGATTGGGCGGAAATACAACGAGGCGGCGGTTGACAACCGCGTGCTGAAATCCGACGTGGAGGCACTGCGCGCCAAGGTATGAAGGGAGGGGCTTTTGACCAGGGTAGGAAGAGGTAGGGAGAGGCCAAGGTAGGGAGAGTCCAAAGTAGGGAGAGGCACTGCGCGCCAAGGTAGGAAGGGAGAGGCTTTGGACCAGGGTAGGAAGAGGTAGGGAGAGGCACTGCGCGCCAAGTTAGGGAGGGAGTGGCTTTGGACCAGGTGGGGAGTTTGAGTTTGGGCCACTGACCAAACTCAACTTTTGAGTTGACTCAAAAGTCACCTGGCGGGGATTGGGCGGAAATACGAGGCGGCTGTTGATAACCGCGTGCTGAACCGACGTGGTGGCACTGCGCGCCAAGGTAAGGGAGCATTTGGGTCAGGCTGGGAGTAAAGGTCGGGCTGGTTTAGGGTTTGGGAGTTTGGGTGAATCAGAAGCCCGTGAGTCAAACTGGGTGGCTGCGTGTGGCTTTTTCTGTGGATAGATAACCTTGTGCTTCTGTACCTCTGTGTCTGTGTCTCTCCCGTCCCCTTTTCCTCTTTCGCAGGTGAAGATGGCAGAGGAGATGGTGGGACGGGTCGCACACATGGCACAGTACATGTACCACCAGCCAATGGCGTTCCGCCACGACGCAGCATCCGCCGCCGCTGCCGCTGCCGCTGCTGCTGCCATGCCATACCCCTCGCCCATCGATCTTCCCTACTACCCCCGGCCCCACCGTGCTGCCACCGGGCCCTTACCCCCAGCGCCGTCTCCTTACCCACTCCCTCCACATGCTGCCGCCCACGCCGCCCAGGCCTCTCATGCCGCCCACGCCGCCCAGGCAGCTCAGGCAGCTCAGGCCTCTCATGCCGCCCAGGCAGCTCAGGCAGCTCAGGCTTCTCATGCCTCTCATGCCGCCCATGCTGCTTCTCTCTCCCTTGATCCGCACCAAGCCAATGGCGCTCCGCCATCTGCCATGCACCCGAACCTCCTGCCGGGCCTCGGGTTACCGCCCGGCATGGACCCGAACGTGTATGGTATGATGCAGGCAGGTATGGTACCGGCAGGTATGGTGGGGTCCATGCCTGGTGCCGTGCCTGGAGGGGATGGTTCGGGAGGCATGGGGGCACCTGGGTCGTCCTCTGCTGCTGCTGCCCACGCTGCTTATGCCGCTGCTGTGGCAGCTGCAGGCGCAGCAGCATCAGCAGGAGGAGGAGGAGGAGGAGGAGGAGGAGGAGGAGGGGGGGGATTAGTACCAGGTGCGACAGCAGCGGGGGGGGGTGTAGGAGGAGGGGGAGGAGGAGGAGGGTCGCCAGCAGGGGGGGTGAGAGAGGGGAGCAATGGAGGAGGAGCAGGGGGGGGAGCAGGAGGGGGGAGCACCAGTGGTTCTGGTGCAGAGCCTACTGGAAGCGCTGGGGGAAAGATAGAACGATCGGGCAGCCTGCAGCGGGTTTCGAGCTTGGAGCATCTGCAGAAACGGATGAGAGGGGCCGGAGCAGCTGATGTGTCAGGTGCCACGTCAGCAGCAGGAGGGGCGGCGGGGGTAGGGGGAACGGTGTCTGGGGCGCCAGCAACAATGGCAGGGCATGAGGCTGCGGCAGCAGCAGCGGCGGCTGCAGCGGCGGCAGGGATGTGGGCGCTGGGGTGGCATGGTGCTGCTGCTGCTGCAGGGGATGGGGCCGCAGGGGGTGGGGGGATGGTTGGGGGGATGGGTGCAGGCGCGTCTGGGCCCAGTGGCACAGGAGCAAGTGCGTAAGAGAAGCAGTGTATAGGTGATTGGCGTAGCATGTTTCAAGTGCAGAAGAGTGCATGTGGGTGTTGGATTGGCATGGTGCTGTTGCTGCTGCTGCATACGTTGGGGTGGGGCACAGCAGTGAAGCATTCATAGAAACTCTGAGCTTGCCCAATATTTGTTGGTTGCATTGGTCCCTTTTTGAAGTGTAGGTCGAAGAATCAGTTTAACGTCCTGTAGCACTAACTACTCACATGTCACTTGTTTGTCAATGGATTATTGTTGTGACCATGATTAGGGTTTTCCGTAGTTTGGATGAAGTCCTTATTCTTATGATGTACTCCAATCCATTATATGGCATGTGTACAGAGGTAGAATAATGGGCAATTTACATCGGGCAAGGCGCACCTGTCCAAGGCCCTTACAGTTCATTCCCACGCTTCTCTCGCCATAAGCAATTCTCGAATCGAGGCATCTTGGTGTCGCACACTCTGGCACGCCGAAACCCAGATTCGGCGCGCATTTCCCCAGGCAAAGTGGCGATGTCCCCATTTATCTGGAAAATGGGGAAGGCTAGAGGCTGAGCCGCAAAATATCAGGGGATGTGGCAGCTGACGCGTCGAGGCGTGATTGCTGTACATTGCTGTTCATTTGCACACTCATTCGAGCCTGAGCTCGCATTGGTCAAAGCAGTTGCCCCTCGAGAACAGCTAGCAGTAATTATTCCGGGAAAACCCGCTGCATCCCTTTCAACCGAACCTGTGAAAGCAATCCCAAGTCTGTTTGCGAGCAATCCCCAGGATCCCATCCCATCCATCCCATCCCCCCACCTCCCATCTGTAATCCCATTTTCAAATCTAGGTGTTGTTCCCTGCCAGCTGCTCCAAATTAGGAGCTTCACCATCCTGAGTCCTGTTACAGGCTTTGCTTGCCTCTGCCATTCATCAGTTGGTGCCTTGAAGTAACTTAGTGACGCTCTGTCAGATTCCCCTTAGTTCTTGTGTAAGCCCGAAATAGGATTCGTTGCTCTCGCGTGCTTCATCAAAATGGAAGCCATTGCTAATCCCACCCGCGTACCCCAAGCAGCAGCCGTTGCTGGATCGGTCACTGCTCAGACCAAGCAGCACGGAGCAGTTTCTAGTGTTGCTATCCCAAAGAAAAGCCCGTTTCTTGGAAACTGCGTCTCCGTCTCTTCCGCCTCGACTGGAGCATCCAATGCTCGGAAATCCCTCAAAGTGACCGCAACTGTCGCTGACGGCATTACCGCTGCTGAAACTTCGTCTGTTACCATTGAGATTGACAACTCCGAGCCTCAATGGACCATTGTCAAGCTCTCTGCTCTGAACCAGCCCGGGCTGTTGAACCGTGTCACCTCAGTCTTCAGGTATGTGAATGTGAAGTGCACTCTAGATTTTGTCATTCGCTGATCAGAAGAAAGCAGTAATCTAACGTGTGGCTTCTTTCACAGGGATTTGAACGTCCAGGTGGTGAGGGCTCTGGTGGGTACTGCTGATAATGCAGTTCTGGATACCTTCTACGTTCAGAACGCTGGTGGCAACAAGATTGAAGATCCGGCTGAACTCGATGTGAGAATAAAATATTCATTGTATTCGCATAATGTTTCAAATACTGAGTCATCTTCAAGCATGTTTTGCCGAACGCGTCCGAGTTTTCTGGGAATAATAAACAGTCGTATATCCGTTGCAAACTCTATTGCTTGTTGCATGTCCGAACAGGTTCTGAGGAAGGCTCTGGAGGTCCTGGCCGTCCCCGTGGCGTCTCCGCCAGCTGTGCGTCCCTCTGCGGTGCAGGTTCAGAGTCCCGTAGTGGACCTCCGGAAGCGGCTCAAGGACGTGTATCTGAGCAACGACGTGCTTTCCATTCAGGAGAGCATCGTGAACCACGTCGAATACACTCTCGCCCGTGATCGCCATCAGTACGTAACATTTGTTGTTTTCAAGAGTTGCAGTTTGGCCTGGCTGCTGCAGCACGAACACCACTTGCCGCATTCAGAAGGATATCTAGCGAAATGTAGCGACCTGATGTGTCTGTTCCCATCTGCTCTTCTGTCTGGCAGTTTCGACTCATATGAGTGCTATTAAGCTGTTCCCTTCTGCTCTTCTGTCTGGCAGTTTCGACTCATATGAGTGCTATCAAGCAGTGGCTCACAGCGTGAGGGATCGCCTGATTGAGAGCTGGAATGACACCAACGAGCACTTCCGTGCCGCTGACCCCAAGCGTGTCTACTACCTCTCCATGGAATTCCTCATGGGTACGCGCAGTCAATGATACTTAATAATGAGTATACAAGATAAAGACGAAAAAGCAATGTCGCGAGCTCTACTTACTTACCGTCGTCTTCTTTTATGTGTACAGGCCGGTCCCTGCTTAACAGCCTCTACAATCTCAACCTGCATGATGTCTACGCGCAGGCTCTGTCACAGGTATTGTAATTTAACATTACAAGCACTCGTATTACTGTCCTTTTGAAGAGACTGAGTTAGCTATAATATTTTGTTGTTCCAATGCGCAGCTTGGTTACAAGCTGGAGGATATTGTGGAGCAGGAGCGTGATGCTGCACTCGGCAATGGTGGTCTTGGAAGGTAAAAAGCTGCTGACTATGCTCAGCGCATACATTCCGCGCACTGGTGCAAAGACGGACTGTTTTCGTGCAAGAGCTTCACCATATTGTTCCTTCATGCTTCTCTTCCGCGTTTCTCTGCAGGCTCGCAGCCTGCTTCCTTGACAGCATCGCCACCCTCGATCTTCCCGGATGGGGGTACGCGCCTGATCTCCCTGTCCAAATCTAAGGGCTTTTCTTCACGTGCACTCGCTTGCCTTCATTTTCACACGTTGCGTTTAGTGACGCCAGCAGGATGTTCGGATGTGACATTGGTGCCATCTGGATTGTGCAGGTACGGCATTCGCTACCAGTACGGCATGTTCCGTCAGACCCTTGAGAATGGGTTCCAGCACGAGCAGCCCGACTACTGGCTCACCTTCGGCAACCCTTGGTACGTTCAGCGTCGTCCCACGAACCAAGTTTCTTTCCCCAGATTACATTCAAGCTCCCGACTTGTTTGCCGCTGTCACGACTTCGCGAATCTCAGCTGCCCTGGTGTTGCGTATGCGTTGTGTGATGTGCAGGGAGATTGAGCGGACTAACATTTCGTACACTGTTAAGGTGAGCTTGAGCTGAATCAGCGAGCAAGAGCAAAGTTCGGGAGCGAGAAACTGTGGAACAATAATGCAACGAGAAACCCAAGGAACAGTAGCAAATGGGGAATGAGTGTTTCAGTTGTGTCTCGAAAAAAATCCTTGGGGTTCTGGGATAAAGCAATGGTTTAATCAAGCTCTGGACTAGCTAGTGGCTGTGAGCTACTGCGCTCAGAATTCTGATCAACTTGTTATTGCACCCTTCCGTTTCATCGTGGGCAGTTCTACGGCCACGTGGAGCAGTACACGGATAGCAGGGGCTACCAGCGCTTCAACTGGGTCCCCGGCGAGCAGGTATGGAGCCTCCCCTGCCTCAATCGTTACCCTTCGTTTACTCCGATTTACCGTCCGACATATTAACCACAACTGAGAGTTTTGGAGCACGTGCGTGTTCCCGACATCTGATCATCTTTTTGTCTCACCACGCTCTTCCTGATCGTGGCTGTAGATTCAAGCCCTGGCGCTTGAAGCATCTCAAACACGACCATCCTCTCTTTTTTTTGGAAATGTCTCACCATCCCCTCTCTGATCGTGACTGTAGGTTCAAGCTGTGGCGTACGACAACCCCGTGCCCGGCTATGGCACCAACAACACCATCAACCTTCGTCTGTGGGCCGGCAAGCCCTCCACGGAGTTCGATCTGCAGTCCTTCAACACTGGCGATTATGTCGCTGCCATTCTCTCCAAGTATGCCTCCTCTCCTGCATCATGTGTACCTTGTTCAGGCAAAATTATCTCCATATCCCCCCTCCCCCCCCCTTCCCCCTTCCCCCCTCCTCCCATCTCTTTGATCGCCTGACCCTCGCCTGATTCCGCCCCTTTTTTCTTCCGTTCTCGTTGAACACCATGCCTGCTTCTAAATCCTGATGCTTTCCTGCCTTGCCGAACCATTTGTCGCCCTGCAGGCAGCGCGCGGAGACGATCAGCAGCGTGCTGTACCCCGACGACCGCAAGCCGCAGGGCAAGGAGCTGCGGCTGAAGCAGCAGTTCTTCATGGTGTCCGCCTCGCTGCAGGACATCATCCGCCGCTTCAAGCGCACCGAAACCGACTTCACCAAGCTCCCCGAGAAGGTACGTCCTCGGCCTGCTTTACCACGCCATCATTGGGTTACCGTTTCTGAGCTCGGGACGCGGTTACGTCTACGAGGTTACAGTACGCCGCTTGGTACATGTAACCGCTACTCTCCTGCTCTTGCCCATGCTAACCGCTACTCTCCTGCTCTTCCCGCCTCTCTTCGCTTTTCCCCCGCTTCCCTCTCACTTTCCCCCCTCCTCCCCGCATTCCCCCTTCCCACACCACTTCCCCCGCTTCCCGCACAACTCTCCCCCCCACCGTTGCACGTGGCATCACCAGGCGGCGATGCAGCTGAACGACACGCATCCGACGATCAGCGTGGCGGAGCTGATGCGGCTGCTGATGGACGAGGAGGGGCTGGGGTGGACGCTGTCGTGGCAGATCACGCAGAAGGTGTTCGCCTTCACCAACCACACCGTGCTGCCCGAAGCCCTCGAGAAGTGGCCCGTCAGCCTCATGGAGAGCCTGCTGCCCCGCCACATGCAGGTGAGGGGTGGGCCGGGGGAGAGGGGCTGGGAATGGGCAGGGGGAGGGGCAAGGAGGGGCAGGGTGAAGGGGGGGGGGGGTCTGTCAAAAAAGCATTGTGGAGGGCGGACCGGGTGCTGCAATTCTGGAAGGCAGTTTTCCGGTGGAGCACTCGTGTGCTGAAATGCTCCACAGCTGGCTTTGCTGACTCGGCCCCTTGGTCGTGTCCGTGTGGTCCCTTGCGCAGATCATCTACCAGATCAACTTCGAGTTCATGCAGCTGGTGAAGTCGCGCTTTGGCGACGACTTCTCGCGCTCCTCGCGCATGTCCATCATCGAGGAGGGCGAAGTCAAGGTGTGTGACGCGGTTCAAAGTGAGAGGTCGAGATGTGATGCGGTTGAGAGAGCAGAGGGAGGTCCAGGTGTGTCAAGTGAGGTTTAGGGGCAGGGCCTGGGAGAGAGAAATAGCAATGGGAACATAGGCGAAGAGCTGCATTCATAGGAGCTCTAGAAAAAATTGCAACCTTGTTGCTGAATTTTGTGTTTCGACTTGTACCTGATTCACTGGTGAGAGGTTCGCTACCCTGCGCGAGGTGGGAACGCATTGACTGACTTAACCTCCTTGCCGCTTGAATGGCAGAACGTGCGCATGGCGAATCTGGCGATCGTGGCGTCGCAGTGTGTCAACGGTGTGGCAGCCATCCACTCAGAGCTCATCAAGCAAACCATCTTCAAGGTACAAGCACCCGTTTGTACCAGCAAGTAACTCACTGTCTTAACTCTTGATGAACCCTTTCCTCTCCCTGCCGTCAAACCCCCATCTTCCATTGCGACGGATTGTCAATCCGTCTGCATCACATCGCACTGGATTGCATATAATTCATTGTCTCGTCCCCTGCTCTTTCCCCTGCCCTGTTTCTGCCTACTCGCTTTGCAGGATTTCTATGAGCTCTGGCCCCACAAGTTCCAGAACAAGACAAATGGAGTCACCCAGGTCAGTTGCTTTTTTGTCATGGCAGCCTCGTGGCAACCCTTCCCCATGGCTCTATGTCACTCTTCCATCAATCTTCGACGTCAATCCATCCTGTGCCCTCCATTGGCCTAAGTGCCCCTTACCGTGTGTAACATTGTTGCCTGACTCTCTGCAACCCCGAACCCCTTTACGTTTATAGCCTCTAACCTTCGCCCGTTCCTCATCCCTTAATTCTACCATGCGTCGCTGGCTAGCGTTCCGCATTCCGCCCCCCTTGCATCCAGCACTCCTAACTCTCGCCCCCACTGTGTTCAACCCCAAACCCCACCGTACTCCCCCCCTTCTCCCCCACAGCGCCGCTGGCTGGCGTTCTGCAACCCGGGGCTGCGCGCACTGGCGGACGAGGTGGTGGGGTCGGACGACTGGGTGTCGGACCTGGAGAAGATCAAGGCGCTCAAGGCCAGGGCGGACGACGCCGCCTTCCAGAAGCGCTGGAGAGAGGTGCGCTACACGTGGCCTTGCTGTGTTTCGGTGGTTCACTGAGATATAGCAGGTTTACTGAGTCATCTGTTGATTTCTATGTGGATCTGGTTGTGCCTTTTTTTTCGTGCAAAAGGGCCACTCACTTACTGCCCTGTGTTGTCTGCCTGGATCTCTTTTGTTGCGTTCCGTCATCTGCAGGTGAAGCAGCAGAACAAGCAGAAGCTCGCAGATGTCATTCTCAAGCTCACTGGTGTCAAGGTGCGTGCTGCTGCTGCTGCTGCTGCTGCTGCTGCTGCCGCCGTTGCGCCCTTTCTCCTCCTGCTACCCTCAGAAATCCCGCTTCTCTTGCTGTCCTTGCTACGTCCTGTGACAAAGTAAGCCCATCCAGCTGCTTTCATGCTGTCAAAGAGGGAATATCAGGAATCCTGGTGGTCAGCGGTGTTTCACAAGATATTGTGGGATGTGGGGTGTTGTGTGTCATGGATGGCATGTTTATGGCATGTTGGCGTGGCATAGGATGTCATGACATGGCATCACGTGGCTTGTTGGCATGGGTATAGCGTGGCACGAAATGGCATTACATGGCATGTTGGCATGGTATGGCATTGCACGAAATGGCGTTGCATGGTATGTTGGCATGGTATGTCGTGCCACATCACATGGTATGTTGGCATGGTATGTCGTGCCACATCACATGGCTGGTGGCAATGTGAGCAGGTGAGCACGGAGGCGCTGTTTGACATTCAAGTGAAGCGCATCCACGAGTACAAGAGGCAGCTGCTCAACGTGCTCTCCGTCATCCACCGCTACGAAGAGATCAAGGTACGTTTCCTCCGACGAGATTCGGAAAGACCTAAACAGTAAGGCCAGAGTATTCGCTCTTCAATCTCGCGGTACAACAACCGGGGCTCCTGTCATGGAAAAGACCAATATATTCGCACCTTGCCCCCTCTAATCCTCCCGCCCTCTCATTCTTCTCTTTTCATGGTTTGTCTTCGCTTTCCCCTCCCCCTCCCCTCCCCCCACTTCCCACCCCGCTCCAGCTCATATCCTCGTCACTTTCTAGTCGACTCAAAATCGCTCCCTTGCGCCCTTCCCAACCCACGCCTACCCCTCACCCCCTCCCTTGCCCTCTCCACTCCAGCGCATGTCCCCGGAGGAGAAGTGCCGGGTGGTGCCGCGCGTGGTGCTGCTGGGCGGCAAGGCAGCCCCCGGGTACGAGATGGCGAAGCGCATCATCAAGCTCATCAGCGCCGTGGGGGAGAAGATCAACAACGACCCCGCTGTGGGCGACCTGCTGAAGCTCGTCTTCCTGCCCGACTACAACGTCTCCCTCGCTGAGATCATCATCCCTGCCAGCGACCTCTCCCAGCACATCAGGTGAGCGCCCTGCTGCACCTCAAAGCACATTAGGTGCGCTTGCTGCCCCTCAGAGTGCTATGTACCGCCCAGCTCACGTCAAAATGGTCTCCAGAATCCTAAAAGTGACCCAGCTATTAGGTCGCCCATCCTGTCTATCCATTCCATCCCGCTGCTGCTTCCTCCTGCTCGCCTCGCCTTTCACCCTGTATTTTCTAGAAAGGCGTGCAAATGCTTTGTCCTGTTGGTGCTATGTCGCCTTCCCCCCAACCCCCCCAAATCCCCCTCCTCCCCCCTTTCCTCCCCCTTTCACCCTCCTCCCCTTTTCACCCGTGCTCCCTCCTCTCACAGCACGGCGGGCACGGAGGCGAGTGGCACGTCCAACATGAAGTTCGCCATGAATGGGGGGCTCATTATTGGCACCATGGATGGCGCCAATGTTGAGATCGCCGAGGAGATTGGCGAGGAGAACATGGTGCGTGGACAGGTGGTGGTGGTGGGTTGGGTGGGAGTGGTGGCGGGTTGGTTGGGACGTTGGGCTGGGGGTGATGGTGGGCTGGTGGTGGCGGTGCCATGAACGGGGGGCTTATCATCGGCACCATGGATGGTGCTAATGTGGAAATTGCAGAGGAGATCGGCGAGGAGAACATGGTGTGTAAAAGGGTGATGGGGTGGTGGCGGGCTGGTGAGTTGGGTTGAGAATGACTGTGAGTTGCGTGGCTGGATGATGGTGGGATCGATGATGCTGGCTTGGGGGGGTGGGTGGATATGGTGGGTGACAGGAAGGTGAAACGGATCTGGCAAATAATCAGAAATACAGAGTGTGTTATGCGTCTCTCCCTCTCCCCACCAACCGTCATCTCCTGACCCCGCGCTCCCTTCCGCACACCACTCCCCCTGGCTCCAATTTATCTTTTAATCGCACAAGCACAATGTCTCAAGTCGACTTCAACCTCTCCTTTCTCTCTTCCCTGACCCTCCCACCCCCCACCTCACTCCCATGCCGCCAGTTCATCTTCGGGGTGCGAGAGCACGAGGTAGCCCGCCTGCGTCGCGAGCGGCCAGGCTACAACCCAGACGGCCGCTTCACCAACGCTGTCAAGTAAGCTCCACTAGCTCAATCGGACAAGGCGATCAATCAAATGAAGAATATTTAAGGAATGGTCTATCGTGTCGCTACACTGGCCCTTTCCTGCACGTGTTACACCTACTTGCTGGGTTCAAAAATTCTCAAACGAGTGGTAATTCCAACCCCACCAAGCAGGGCATCATCCCAGCAACGGATCTCCCATGCCAGGCATTCCTGCCTCATCCACTCACTCTCTCCCATCTGCGCTCTCTCACTCTCTCTCCACCCCCACCCCCCCCCCCCCCCCCCCCCCAACCCCCACCCCCCGCCCTCCTTCCCCCCATATCTCCCCTGCTCTCCTCTGCTCCCTCACAGCATGATCCGCAATGGCCAGTTTGGCTGGGTGGACTACTTCGCCCCCCTCGTGCAGTCGCTGGATGGCTCCATGGGGGGTGACTTCTACCTCCTGGCCAACGACTTCCCCTCCTACCTCCAGGCGCAGGTACGTTCCTCTGCCACTCGGACCCCGCCTCCTCCCTTCTCAAAGACTTCTAGACAGGCCTCACTGTTCCAGCTTGACTCCTCGATGGCTCCGTGGGTGGCGACTTCTGCCTGCTGACTTGGGTGCAGCACAAACCCTTTCACTTTCTTGCGCCTCCATTCCCAGCACCTCTGCATTGGTCTCTCTTGCTCATTGGGAGCAGATGAGCATTTCGATCACAGCATGCCTGAGCACGCTAAACAGACTAGACTAGAATTTAGTCTATCTAGTCTCCCATCACACCCTTCCCTTCGATGCTTCCCCTGCACAACCCCTCACAGGCTAAGGTGGACGAGACATGGAGGAACAAGGGACAGTGGGAGAGGATGAGCATTCTGAGCACAGCAGGCATGAGCAAGTTCAGCAGTGACCGTACGATTGCCGAGTATGCCAAGGACATCTGGCACGTGCAGGCCTGCAAGCTCGATGTTGAGGCTGCTGCTGCTGCCAAGGAAGCCAAGAACAAGAACGCCAACTGAACCGAGACTGAATTGGAAGTGGACTGAAGTGCATTTGTAAGAGACAGAGTAGCATGTTTAGAATGAGCTGGGTGTGGTGGCAGCATCAATGTTGTGAAGTTATCGGTACCAAACTCTTTGGTAATCTTGTATTAGTGACATGATAGTATCACTTTGCCAGTTCAGTGGTTCAAGTAATTATGAAGAAAATCAGAATAAAAGAAAAGGCTGCATATGTTTGATTTCCCCAAGTTCCCTGGCATACCGGAAAACTCTGGTACTGAGATAGTCAAGCTAGCTTTCATAATAATACTGATGTTCATACAAACCATTCGGATATGGTCCAAGTGATTTGTAGACGAACCAGGTTGACAACAGGATTAATTTGTAGTTATACAAGTGAACATCAAGTCATTTCGGAGAAGCTGGTAGTGAAGTATCCCGCGCAGAATATGAAATAACTGCGCTTCGTCAGTACTTTGGCGGCGACTTACGCCTGAATCTCTACAACTTTGGGTCATTCGCTAGCGAAACGCTTTCGCCGCTCCTTGTGGGGACCACCGAAATCATCTCGCCTCCATCCTGCTTGAAGGGACGCATCCTGCTGAGACGATGGTGGCGGCATTCCCGACACCACTCCTCCTGATGATGCTGTTGTTGATGGTGCTCTTGCTCATGCTGAATCGTCCGCCTCACGGCATTCCCGAGGTTCATTCCACTTACCTCTGCCAAATTCCTGTCTCCTGAATCTCTTCACTGGCTTTCTCGAGTTCAGCGTAGCTGATGCTGACTTTCATGGCTTCCTCAGCTTGCCATGGCGGCTGTCGAAACCTCTTAGCGGGTGTTGCTTATCATAGACTACGATCGTTACTTAACGCTTATTGTTCAGTATAGCCATGAGAGTAGTAGCATATCTCGATAAGGCCGTTTCCGCATCATGCTGATCTAGATTCTGATACGATTTAGTTTCTGAAGCCTGAATAGAAACCGTACTGCTTAGCTCTGAAGGATTGGTACTGGTGATTCTTAACCCCGAAATCTAAAGCCTCTCTATCGTTACGTTCCAGCATCTAAGTTTTAGGCTCATCGCTTATGGCCTCTTGGCTCAGCAATGATATCGCTGATAAGTTTTCCCGAAGAGTCTTGGATCTCCGCGGCTTTAGTTGTCGCGTATATTCCGTTTAAGCTTCGGGACAGTGGAATCTGTCATCATGGAACGTGAAGCACGTCAATCGACGCTAGCGCGTTATGCAGCACCGTGTCCTATCAGAAGTCTCAGGAATGACATCCGAAGTGCTTTCAGCGTCTCATGCAATACCGAAACCTTCTTCAGGCAGTCCCGTACGCGCATTCAGACAGTACCGCCGGAAGAACGGAGTTTTCCAACGGCATACTTTGACATGGTCGACAGCTTTCACCATGAGAGAAGCTATCAGCAGCAGCAGCAGAAGAAGCACATCCAGACGACAGAAGCTTGCGATGAAGTCCGTCTTCTTCGCGGTACTCGAAACCCTACGAGAGGTATCATCGCTGATCCGCTAAGCTTCGTACGTCCGTCGCTGTTCCGCTTATCTCCATAGCAACGTCGTAGCCACCATCGCTTGCAAGAACGATGCATGACAAACGAATGACGTCGCTTTTGCTCACGGATGGCTCAGCCCGTGAATCTTTAGCAGCAAGGCGACCGGCGTCGGGGTGACTCACGGTGACACAGTGAGCAGCGAGTGGGTAGCGTCGAACAGCCTGTTGGTTGGTAGCATCGGGCGACGATCGGCGAGTGGCTGTATTGGGGGATTTCGAATCTCGAACAGTGGGTGACGACTGCCGCACGGCGGGAAGCGAGATGATGTGCAATGATCGGCAAGCGGCACTTCATTTAAACGTTTCGCGTCGTGCGAGCGGCGAGCGGAGAGCGGCGAACAGCACGCTAGACAGCGTGAGAAGGGGTGGCGAGATATGGACTGCGAGTCGCGGTCACACCGTGAGTTGCTGTCACGCCGTGCTTGGCGCTGGTGATGAGGAGCACCAATCTCGACGACCAAATGCGTGCGACGTTGGGGGTACTGGCGACTTACGCATGCGACGGTGGCGGATGATGGCGAGCAGCCGCGTGCGACGGTGTGCGGAGTGGCGACTTACTGCGTGAGACGCTGTGCGGAATGACAAAGAGCTGGGTGCGATGAATTGCAGTATGGCGCGACGATGTGCGAAATGCGACGAGCTGCGTGCGACGTCATGCGGAATCACGACTTTGCTGCGCGACTGTGAGCAGAACGGAGAGTTGCTGCGCGCGACTGTGAGCGGAACGGCGGGTTGCTGCGCGCGACGGTGTGCGGAACGGCGAGCTGCTCCGCGCGACGGTATGCGGAACGGCGGGTTGCTGCGCGCGACGGTGCGGAACGGCGAGTTGCTGCGCGCGACGGTATGCGGAACGGCGGGTTGCTGCGCGCGATGGAGTGCGGAACGGCGGGTCGCTGCGCGCGACGGTGTGCGGAACGGCGGGTTGCTGCGTGCGACGGTGTTCGGAACGGCGGGTTGCTGCTCGCGATGGAGTGCGGAACGGCGGGTCGCTGCGCGCGACGGTGTGTGGAACGACGGGTTGCTGCGCGCGACGGTGTACGGAACGGCGAGTTCCTCTGGACGACTCATTTTCTGCGTCCACGCTTCTCCTGTAGTTAAGTCTCCTCTCCGCACCCCCGTCCTCCCCTCCCTTTCTCCTTCGCTATCCCCAACTCCCTCTCTCACTGCTGTCAAATTTTGACCCTTGGCGCATGGTGGTGGTGGTCCGTGGTGCTATGGCAGCAGAGCTCATGTAGAGTGCAGTGTAGTGGGAGTGGTGGGATAGAGTAGTGGAGAGGGAGTGCATTCATGCCATGCGTGCGTCCCCCAGTCCCCCCTCGCTGGCTCAGCTCGCTGCTCTAGTGCCGTGGGCCACTGTCGCCATGCGCCTTCCCCGTTCCCCCTCCCCTCCCCCCAACTCCTTCCCCCTTCCTCAACTCATTTTTCGCTTGCGTTGAAGTTTCGAGTTTCTCAGTCTTGCTCTCCACTGCTTCTGCTCTATTGCCCACCTTGACCTGCTTTCAGCCCACATCTGTGTTTCTGCCTCCAATGTTAACCTGTTCCGTGGTGTGCTTTCTGCTGCACACATTCCGAATGGAGACTTGATGCGTGCGACGTTGTGCGGAACGGCAAAGCTGCTGGTTGCTGCTGCTGCCTTGGACGAGTCACTTTCAGCCTCGACGCCTCTCCTTAGTTAAGTTTCCCGAGGCTGTCCCTGCCCCTGACCCTGTCCGTGTCCCTGCTGCCGCTTTACCTTGTAATTCGTGTTCACATTTGCAAGCATGCTTTGAACCAAAACGCCGCCTTCGCATGAAGGTATTAAAAACGTTCGCGTGGCGATGGTAGCACATGGCACTGGGGCGGCTTGAGCTCACACTAGAGTCCTAGAGGGTTAGAATGCACTCACACTCACGCCCGCGTCTCGTCCCACTTGCCTGCTAGCTCGCCAACCTAGTGCCATGAGCTACCATCGCCTACCCTTTCACTGTGCCACCTGTTGTTTAACTTCCAGCTTTTACTCTCACAGTATTATGCCTCCGTTTTGTTTTCCTCCCGTTATCCCAGCCGCTTTACGATTTGTCAATCACGCCCATCCTTATATTAGACTAACTTCCTCAATTCCTGCACCCTTCTGCCTTCTCTCCTCTCTCCCACTCGCTCCCTTCCCTCTCCGAAACTTTCCCCCTCTCGCACAGGGCTGTGGCAGCGTGGTGCGGGGAGGGAGGGCGGTGGGATGACGCACGGCAGGCAGTCACAGCGGCGTGCGTGCCTCCTGCATGCCCTGCTGACCACGCCGCTCCCTCACGCGCCCAGCGACCTTGAGTGCTGCTGCTGGGAGTGTTTCTGCTGCGAGTGTCGCTGCTGGGAGGGCTGCTGCTGGCATTAACAAGGCGACGAGCAGCTTCTGAATCCCGCTAAGTTCCCTCCTCAACCCTTGCCATCCTTACCGCCGCTTTACCTTGTAATTCGTGTTCACATTTGCAAGCATGCTTTGAACCAAAACGCCGCCTTCGCATGAAGGTATTAAAAACGTTCGCGTGGCGATGGTAGCACATGGCACTGGGGCGGCTTGAGCTCACACTAGAGTCCTAGAGGGTTAGAATGCACTCACACTCACGCCCGCGTCTCGTCCCACTTGCCTGCTAGCTCGCCAACCTAGTGCCATGAGCTACCATCGCCTACCCTTTCACTGTGCCACCTGTTGTTTAACTTCCAGCTTTTACTCTCACAGTATTATGCCTCCGTTTTGTTTTCCTCCCGTTATCCCAGCCGCTTTACGATTTGTCAATCACGCCCATGCTTATATTAGACTAACTTCCTCAATTCCTGCACCCTTCTGCCTTCTCTCCTCTCTCCCACTCGCTCCCTTCCCTCTCCGAAACTTTCCCCCTCTCGCATAGGGCTGTGGCAGCGTGGTGCGGGGAGGGAGGGCGGTGGGATGACGCACGGCAGGCAGTCACAGCGGCGTGCGTGCCTCCTGCATGCCCTGCTGACCACGCCGCTCCCTCACGCGCCCAGCGACCTTGAGTGCTGCTGCTGGGAGTGTTTCTGCTGCGAGTGTCGCTGCTGGGAGGGCTGCTGCTGGCATTAACAAGGCGACGAGCAGCTTCTGAATCCCGCTAAGTTCCCTCCTCAACCCTTGCCATCCTTACCGCCGCTTTACCTTGATATTCGTGTTCACATTTGCGAGCATCCTTCGAACCAAAACGCCGCCTTCGCATGAAGGTATTAAAAACGTTCGCGTGGCGATGGTAGCACATGGCACTGGGGCGGCTTGAGCTCACACTAGAGTCCTAGAGGGTTAGAATGCACTCACACTCACGCCCGCGTCTCGTCCCCCTTGCCTGCTAGCTCGCCAACCTAGTGCCATGGGCTACCATCGCCTCTCTGTTTTCACTGCATCCTTCCACCTTGTTTTCACTTCTGAATTCTTCCAGTTTTGCCTGCCTTTGCTTCATTTGTCGCTTGTGATTATCTTTCACTGCTTTATTCCATTCCTGGACCAGTTTCCTGCATCCCGTATCCTTTTTTCTCCGTCTCGCCAGCCCAGGCCCTGGTTCCAGGACAAAAGGAGTGGATTATTTAGGAGCATCACTTGAGGAGCCAACACTCCAAGAGCCAACAGTCCGAGAGCCAACAGTCCGAGAGCCAAACAGTCCGAGAGCCAGCAGTCCGAGAGCCAACAGTCCGAGCAGGTACACCCTCCACTGCCGCAATTTGTCACTTACTCAGATGTTCCGTCCAGCAACTAGTATAACTACTAGCCAGTGCCCGCTCTGGAGCACGCGCATGTTCTCCACATGGGAGCTTTTCCAGTCCGAGAGCCAACAGTCCGAGAGCCAACAGGAGCCAACGCCTCGAAGAGCGAAACTCGACACAGCAGTGGTTTGACATCCAGCATCAGCACTCACTTCACATGCACTCGCTTCACATGCACTCGCTTCACATGCACTCGCTTCACATGTACTCGCTTCACATGCATTCGCTTCACATGCACTCGCTTCACATGCACTCGCTTCACATGCACTCGCTTCACATGCACTCGCTTCACATGCACTCGCTTCACATGCACTCGCTTCACATGCACTCGCTTCACATGCACTCGCTTCACATGCACTCGCTTCACATGCACTCACTTCACATGCACTCGCTTCACATTCATGCATTCATCCGTTCTTGCTTCAATACTCCTGTTTTCCCGTTCTGTCCTTCATTTGCTCTCTCATTTCCTCTCCCTGCCTCTTTCACCTCACCTACCTGCTCCCTCCACCCATCCTCTCTCTACCCATCCCCCCTCTCTCTACCCATCCCCCCTCTCTCTACCCATCCCCCTCTCTCTCCCCCCCCCCTCTCTCTACCCATCCCCCCTCTCTCTGCCCATCCCCCCTCCCTCTACCCATCCCCCCTCTCTCTACCCATCCCCCCTTCTCTCTACCCATCCCCCCTCTCTCTACCCATCCCCCCTCTCTCTACCCATCCCCCCTCTCTCTACCCATCCCCCCTCTCTCTACCCATCCCCCCTCCCTCTACCCATCCCCCCTCCCTCTACCCATCCCCCCTCCCTCTACCCATCTCTGTTCAGCAGCGTGAACTCAATTGGGGTGGAGGGCTGCGATGTTGCGGTGCCTGAGGGTGCTGCTGATGGCGCAGCGCAGTGCCACTCGTGAGGGTGTAACTCGCTGCTCTGGTGAGAAGCATCATCTGGCGGGACTCGCTGCTCTGGTGAGAAGCTTCATCTGGCGCCTAACTACAGGTACGCTAACCCCACTCTGACTACAGGGCAGCGCCTAACTACAGGTACGCTAACCCCACTCTGACTACAGGGCAGCGCCTAACTACAGGTACGCTAACCCCACTCTGACTACAGGGCAGCGCCTAACTACAGGTACGCTAACCCCACTCTGACTACAGGGCAGCGCCTAACTACAGGTACGCTAACCCCACTCTGACTACAGGGCAGCGCCTAACTACAGGTACGCTAACCCGGCTCTGATTACAGGGCAGCACCTAACTACAGGTACGCTAACCTCACTCTGACTACAGGGCAGAACGGGATAACGATACGGCAAGCAATGAATGAAACTTTGCAGAATTGGAAGATTTGAATTGTCCAGATGAACTTGATCTGCTTTAACTCTTGCTGTGATATACAGTGCATGCTGTGATATATCGTGCATGCTGTGATATATAGTCCATGCTGTGATATATAGTGCATGCTGTAGGCTGTTGGCTGTAGGTTGTATTTCTATGTAGGCTGTATGTTGTAGGCTCTTTGTAGGTTGTATCTGTACGAGTGTTTTAGCTTGAAGAATCAAGATGAGCGGAGCAGAGGAGAGAAGGCGACCCACCTGGAGGAGGAGAAGAGGAAGAAAAGGAGGATATGAGGAAGCAAAGGAGGAGGAGAGGAAGCAGAGGAGAGGAAGCAGAGGAGGAGGACAGAAGGTTTCTACAGCAGACGTGGTGAGATATCCCTTATATTCCATCATTCTCATCCTTTCATCTTTGCTCGGATTCCCCAGCCTCTTGTACTCGACTTCTTCTCTCTTGCCACTTCTGCATCTCATTATGAATAGTTGATCTTCCACTGTCTCAGATGCTCGGAAGCAAGGATGACGCACAAGGAGTAGACGAGAGCAGGCAGAGATGAGGGAGCAGAGATGTCTAGTTCAGTTTGTATGCTGTATGATGTTGGCCTTATCTCTAGGTATAGTACAGGCTGCAGGCTAAAGGCTAGTGGCAGTGGGGGCAATTTGGGACTTTATAATGCAGCAGCGCTAGTGACAGTGGGAGCAATTTGGGACTTTATAACGCTGCAGTGGTAGTGGCAGTGGCAGCAACTTGGGACATTATAACAGTGCAGACTGCAGTAGTAGTGGCAGTGGCAGCAACTTTGGACATTAGAGCTAGGAGTGGTGGTGGCAGGAGGAACTTGCTTTGCAACACCCAGCACCACCCACGGTTACCGTATTGTAACAAAGACAAGACAAGGCGATGGGGGCGTGGCACGACAAGGCGTGACTGCGCTGTACTGTGACACAGCGTGCGTGTGAGCTGAAGTGTGACTGACGACAAGGCATGTGCGCTGGAGCGTGACAAGGTGTGGGCGCTGGAGTGTGACCCTACGCAGGTATGAATAGCGCATTTGCTCATTTTCGATCTGCTTATTTGCTCAATGTTCTTCTGAGAGCGTCACTAACTACACTCTACCCATCTGCAGTCAAGTCGTCAGACAGCTCTACAAAGGATCTCTCCATTCTAAGCTCCCATTGGTCAACAACCTCCTTGGTAGCCAGCAGAGCAGATCTTAGCTCCCCCAGGTGCACCTCCGTTACCACCTTATCTCGAATGCACGCCTTGCACGCCGTGACCGTGTGACACTTGGCGGGCTGCCATTGGCCGAAGCCGTTGGCGTCCAAGCAGTTGTCGATGTAGGTGGAGAGGTTGCGATGCTCGTTGCGCCACATGAAGAAGCTATGCTGCACGGATAGACACAGAAAATGAGGTAGTGGAAAGGCAGTGGCAAGAAGAGAGCAGCGGCAGGAAATGGGAAACGCAGTATGTAGCACACAGCACAGGCACACCACAGTGCTATGCTGCAGAGGATGTGGAGGAGACACAGGTAGATGCAATCACAAGTCAGGAGGGAGGAGGGGGAGGGGGAGGATGTAGAGAGGGGAATCAGTTGCGCCATACGAAGTAGTGCACTCCGTAGCACAGTGCTGTGCTGCAGAGGATGTGAAGGAGACACTGGTAGATGCATTCACAAGACATGAAAGGGGGCGGGGGGGAGAGAAGATGCACAGAGCATATCCAGAGCATATACAGAGCACGTACGGACCATTTACAGGGCATGTACAGAGAATGCACAGAGAATGCACAGAGGATGCACAGAAGTTATAGAGGGAAGGCAGCTGCAATGCATGTGTGGTGCTGTGTGATGCAGTGTGATGCTGTGTGATGTTGTGTGATGCTGTGTGATGCTGTGTGATGCTGTGTGATGCTGTGTGATGCTGTGCACATTATATAAGATATGGCGTGCGATGCTGCAGGGAGGAGGCAGGGAGGTTGGAGCCCATGGCATGAAGAGAGTATCGTCAGAGAAAAGGGAAGTACAGACTGCCAAGTCGTGTAGAGCACGACCCAATACCCACAAGGGACAAAAGTCCCCCAAAACCACAATTTCCCCAACCCCACATTTTTTCCAACTCCTTGATATTCTCTCTTCCCAATACACCCACCGTGCCACATGATTGGTATCTTCCACGCCCGCACCACTGGCACACCTATCCCATTCACTCTCCCGCTCTAGGAGTTTCAGCCCACATCCCTTAACTCACTCTCTACCCATCTTAGAAGCTTCAACCCCCATTCCCCTTCCCCCAGTCGCCCACACACCTTAGTGGTTTCAGCCCCCATCCCTCTCCCCCACTCACCCACCTTTTGGGATTCAGCCCCTATTCCTATCTCCCACTACCCCAGCTTAGTGGTTTTAGCCCCCATCCCTCTCTCGCCAACCCACTCTAGGGTTTCAATCCACGTGCTTCGCACATCACCAGAGGGGCACATCTGCTGAAAGAGGTCGGTTGGCGAGAGATCCTCTGAGCGTTTATTTCCCGCGCCACATCCCCCGAGCACCTATTCTTCCCGCGACACTTCCCCCCAGCCCATGTCCTTCCCGCGACACTCCCCCCCAGCCCATGTTCTTCCCGCGACACATCCCCCCAGCACCTGTTTTTCCCAACCTGACGCCTCGTTCCCCGCACTGCGGACGGGAATTGGAAAGCGCACCCTTCCAAGCTTGACTCTCCGCCGCGCTCTGTGCAGCAAGGAGGCGAGGCGCGGGAGTCCCGAAAACCCGCGGAATGCGCGGAAGTGGCGAAAGTCGCGGGGATCTGAGCAACATGGAGTGACTCGAGCGGAGCGAGTCGTCCACATGCATTGGATGCGAGACGGAGCGCGCGTGCAGCCATGGTTTATTGCTCGAGATGGGCGGGGGTGAGTGGAACGACATCTGCGTCAGGGGCTATCAGTGCGAAGAGCCATATCGGCAGGACGAGGGGACGGCAGCAGTCAGGAGCTGGAACGTCAGACGGGGGAGTGGGACGAGGGGACGACATTCAGGCTGCGGTGCGGGGGGTCGGGGACGTAGGGCAGGACGTGGAGGGCGAGAGAGGATGATATGCTTGCTGCTGTTGCAAGTTGTTCATGATAAGAGGTGCTCCGGTAAAATTATGTACTTACCGAGTGATTTAGAAACAAACCACAAACATTGAATGAGGTGGGGTGGCATGTGGCGAAGTGGGGTGAAAGGATCGCTGTTACTAGTTTTGAACTGAAGATTCGCGTACATTTAGAACAGTATTGGATATATCGATGTTGGGGATTTATGGAAAATAGGGACGTCTTTTGTACACAAACAGCCATAGTTGCCCGTTTGATTTTTCCATCTTGGATTTCCGAGTTGTGCTGTTCACTTGAGATGACGCCAACCCAAGCCACCGTAACAGTTCGGCGCCACAGAGCACGCTGCAGTCCAGCCGTTCAACCCACCAGCACAGACAAGAATGTGGGGCACAGAAATGCAAGAAAGTTCCAACGAAAGCGCACGGATAGTTACCAAAATTGGGCAAGCCAATTCACCTGAAATTGTTTCACACTCACGCAGGGATTGGCATAAATAACCTGCACTATAGTAATAGACCACAAGGTTCTTCTCATGTTAGTGTAACAAGTCATTTTGCCGAAATAGCAGGAAAATAGATCATTTAGAAGTATGTCCACATGAAATGAAAATACACTAGCAGTTTTTTTCTCGCGGGTTGTTCTCAAGGGGCACATGCTTTTGTCTTTTCGCGACTGTGTCAAGTCACGTGGCAAAGTACAGCACGTGGCAACCGTGTCATGAATCATTGAAGAGAGCTCTTGCATGATGTTTTTACCCGCGCTGTCCGAAAGCTGCCCCATGGGTGTCGCAACGTGAGCCGTCGTGTTTTCGTACACTAGAAAATCGACAAGAGCGTCCCTGCCCTCACATTCCGAGTTTATGCCAGCTGTAAGACCCAATCATGCGTCTCACATGACACACTGCGAAACATGCAAGTCGAAGTTTCGCTTGGAGTTTCATTCGGAACATCCCAAACTTCTCCAAACTGTACACTTGTGGTTGGAGCCTCGTGTTTGCCCTTGCCTGGAGGTACTTCCCGAACTTGTTTCCCTAAAATTTTCTATCGTTGGTAAGTGCGAATACGATTAACCATCAAACAGTTTGTTCCTTACCAACGGCTTATTTGCTGGGATACGCAGTCAAAACTGAGCGCAAAATTTTCAGAATCAGAATCCTACCGAACACGCAGGATGACCGAAGCCGACCACTACAGTTTCTCCCGTTTGGAAGAGAAAGAATCCGCAATTCTCACACAGAACCTGACCAGACCAATAGTGTTACGTAGTATTACAAACCCCGTGGTGTTTGTAAACGGGTGAGACGCGCTGATGCAGGGTGGGGAGGAAATAGATGCAGGAACTAGCACTTAACTTCTACACTTCGAGAATCATCGGGAATAAAATTATCTGGTAGTCCATGAACACCATATTTACGACAAAACGGCATTGATAAAGCTTGACGCGTCCGACCACACACACAGCCGTAACTGCCGAGTCCGTCAAACTTGTAGCCCACTGGGATGGAAGCTATCATGACTTTCTTGTCCTCACGTTGCATGGACAACGTCCTCAGTCGCTAGAGTGACAGCAGCACTGTAGCAGCCGTATGGAACGTGGACGGGTGCACGTGACGTGAAGCCGCTCCATGAAGCGCGTCTGAGGCGATGGGGCTTGGTGTGGCAGGCAGCCTCCAGAAAGAAATCTGCTCGGATGAGACGAGACGAGGCACATGTCAGTTCGGTTCGGTTCGGTTTAGATTTTATAAGGTAGGTTGCATTACGGTAGCAACCCCATTCACAGTTATCCCACCAACCAAACCATCCCAAAGTCCCTTTAGGAAAAGACAGTGATTGGCCGGGCCCACACATCCATTCGCCAGCAACAGTGTCACAGCAGACTTACCCGTCCATCCCTCCCCCTAGCAGTCAGTCATCGTCGCGCGCTGGGTGATTTTTCCCTCCCACACTCATCCCGCAATTCCCTGCGCTTCGGCTTTGCCCCGTCCCATCCTTGCGAGTTCACAGGCCCCCCAAATTCTTCCCCCGTCACTCCATAAAGGCCAACCCATCTGTTGTTCCTCAGCAGCATTTCATCCGAAAAAATCGTAGCAGATTTGCTTCTTTGGATATCCCAGGCTGGCAACAACACCTTCAAGTCACTGCTCGAGCCTTAGTAGGATTGTGCAATCTCTATCTCTATCTCTCCCTCTCTCTCCATGGGTGTCAGTCTGTCCGAGCTGTTTGCGCTGGGCCCCGCGGCAACTCGGCGCGAGCAGCGCGAACATGACTCCGACCTCGCGCAGCCCGACGCGCTATCCAAAAAGCGCAGAATAATCGAGAATCTTAACTTTCCCCCGACTCACGCCGCATTCGACTCCACCGCGCCCGCGGCTCCGCCCGCGCACCCATTCGCTCTCTCCGCCACCGCCGCCGCCGCCGCAGAAAGCGCGCCCACACAGATAGACTTCTTCAAGGCGCGGGAAGACACAGATGCGCTGCCCGGGGCAGAAGAAACTTCCGACGGGCCGTCGTTGAGCGATCTGGGAGAGGATCTCCTGTTGAAGATTCTGCAGGAGGGGCAGCCGACGGCATGGGATCTATGCCGCTACGCGTGCGTGAACTCCACGTGGCGGAAGCTGTGCTACAGCCGGGTGTTCTGGACGAAGCTGCGCATCGGCCCGGGCAGCATGCACGCGGGCGTCGAGCAATTAGCGCCGCGTTGCGCGCAGCTGACGGATTTGTTCATCGACGACCCGCGCTGCGAGCTGCACGTGCTGCACCCGATTATAGTCTCGTGCGGCGAGTCGCTTCGCCACGTGGTCATCGATTGCGATCAGGACAGCACGAGCCGGAACGAAGCGTCGATTTGCAGTATTCTGTGGATTATTTCGCTCTATTGCAAGCAGGTTCAGAGCATCGAGCTGACGTCAGCGGGAGTAGAGACGTCGTTCGGGGCTCTTGAGACGCGGTGCATGTGGTATCTCACTTCGGGCTTCCGAAATGTGCGACATTTCGCGAGCCTTTCGCGAAACAGCGTTACGAAGCAGGCGATCTACCTCATGGTGATCGCATGGAGGGACCTGACGTGCCTGCGAATTCACAACGGCGGGCTCGAAGTCGACGATCTTTTCGCGCTTCGCAAATGCGCGGGCTTGCGACTGCTTGAGCTCTTCGGCGGGTCAATTCAAACCCCTGGTGCTCTCGCGAACAGCTGTCCTTTCGCAGCAGCGTCAGGCGCCACGGTTTTCCATCGCGAGCTCGAAGTTTTGGTTCTGACCGACGTAGATTTTGACGCGGGGGCAATTGCGACAATCGCGCTGCACTGCCCGAAGCTGCGGAAGATTATCGTGAAGGGCGTGTGCTGCCACGCGTGCGGGAGCAAGGTTGCGCGCGGCGGTCCCGAGGGAGAGAAAGCTGCGGAGGCTGCGAGCGCCTGTGCGAAACAAAAGGTCGCGCTGCTGCGACAAATTCTGTCGCTAGCCGACAGGTTGGAAGTTTTGATGCAGTGATACGCGTCAGTGGGACCGAAAAAGATGGATTCGTTAGTGGGGTTGTCCGCCATCCCCACCCTGATGGATCTGCATGGGGGGACAATCGTTTGACTGAAGGCGGGGATTGCTTATTTTATTGCATTTTTGTGATGTGTGTAACCATTTGACTATCCAATGCAGTTTTCTCCAACCACCACTCTGAAAAAGTAGGGGCACTAGCACAATAACGGAGCCTCCAGGAACGTGCATGAGCACATAGCAGGCTGGATTTTTCCTGCTTCCTAATTGTCTTGCATTCCTTGCGCTTCAAACTGCCCCAATCCTTCGAAGCTGCCCGGAAAACAGTCCCGGTTCGGCGAGAGAGAGGCCACGGGTCTCTGGCGGGCGAGGGAGCGTGGGAGAGGGGCGAGGAGGTTGGATGAGGCAGGGGAGGAGGACGAGAGGGTGGGGGGAAGAGGGGTGGAAGGAGATGAGTTGGGTGCTGAGTTTAGGGGAGACTGGGGGGAGGAGGCTGGGGGGGAGGGGTGGGGGGAAGGCTGAGAGGGGGGATGTGTGGGGTTGGTTGGGGGTGGAGGGATCGGGTGTTGTGAGAGGGGAGAGACTCGCAGAATGTTGGGGTGTCCAGTTGACTCCAACCCTCGACGAGACTGTTGGGGATTTTCCAGACTTAGTCGATTTTCACTCTCTGCATACGCTTCGCACCCATCACGAGTCCATGGTAACCCTGTTACCGAGGCAGCACCATTGGCGGTTTGAGGTGCTGGTAAGTGAGTGTCAGAACCAGTGACAGCAGCAGCGGCGGCTACTGCGGTGGGTGCGGAGCGGAAGAGAGACGAGGGGGACGGAGGGGTGTGCCCCAGATGGAACCCGTAAAAAGTTTCTGTCACCTGCCCGGTAACCTCCCCCTCCCAGTTGCACCCAGCCTCTGCTGTAGCGAGCTCAGCACAACTCCTCTTATTGCCAAAACCCTCACCCTCCCCTCCCCCCAGCCCCTGCCCTATTCTCCTCTTTCCCCCAGGTACGCCATCCCCACCACTTTCCTCCATCCGCTCCCTTCTCTCCTCCCCCCCCTCTCCCCTGCCTCCCCCGCCCCCTTCCCCCTCTTCCTCCCCACAGTACACGCTATCCACAACAGCAGGGCTCATGGGCCGGCAGCTGGGCAGCTGAACATCCACGACTTTGCGTGCCGGGCAGCCCGGAACGGAACAACCGAAATAAAACCTGCCAGGGTTGAGGGAAGGTGGAGCAGTTAGTGGCTTCACTTGAGAATGCAATGGGCCAGCATAAGAAACTTAATTGACCAAGGATTTTTAGAGGTTATATTCTATATAAGACATTCGTAACCAACTGGAACAACGTTGTGAATGTGGACTCAACTCCGACACAAATTTGCCTACCCCCATGAACCCCACCCCCCTGTGCGACAGCCCTCCCCACCCACCTCTCCATGCGTCTGCCTGTGGCAGCATGAGTGATCTCCTTTCTTCCTGTCTCTGTCCATGCTGCCTCCCCTGCTGCGTGGCAGGCCGGGCTGAGGTTTAGGAAAAAAGGGACAAAGGCACGAAGAGCAAGATAAGTCCATAGCTTTTCAGACAGTTCCATCCACTGATGCATGTACAATGAGGCTTGTCGTGCAGTAGGTGCCAGCCAGGCAGGGAGCAATGGCGTGGGTGTGAACTTGATCTGGAGTGAGCGCAGTGCCCATGCGGGAAATGAGTCTTGTTTTAAGTCGACGCAAAACACTGATTGTGAGTGCATGCAGTGGCTATGGAGGAACAAACTGATGACTTTTGAGTCGACTCGAAAATGAGGTGACTTTTGAGACAACTCAAAAATGAGTCAATGCATGAGTGCAATGATGTGCCAGAGAGAGTATGAGCTCGTGAAAACAGTTCAGCATGGATGGTATCAGGTAGCCGACTTTTAAGACGTCCCAAAAAGCAAGGCATGGCAGGGGGGCAAACCTGAAGGCAGCAGCAGCATTCATCCCCGGCAGAGATGGCATGGGTAACCCTGATGCTGCTCCGCTGCTCTTCCCTGCTGCTCCTCCAGCAGCAGTAGCAGCAGCAGCACCACCACCAACAGTAGCATTAGCATTATCGGCAGCAGTAGAAGTAGAAGCAGCATTAGCATTGGCAGAAGTAGCAGCAGCGGTGGGGGCACCACTAGCAAGAGCGTCAGGTGCGGCGTTGCTCCTACAAGGCTCCCTGTGAGGAACGAGGGACGCCAGACCAGCTGGGACAGAGGCGAGCGGGGACGGCCCTGGTGAATGCCGATTGGCGCGGCCAGGAGAATGCCCAGGGGAAAACCCAGGGGAGGCTCCAAGAGGAGTGGGGGCTGAAGGGGGTGACTTGGCGGCGAGAATGAGACCGCCCATGCTGCCATAGCGCAGCAGACTTAGCAGATCTCCCTGCTGGCACCCTTGCCTGGACCCTGGTGAGCCCCACTCCCCCTCTCCACCCATGCCCATGCCCATCCCCATGCTCATTCCGAGACCCATACCTCCATCACCACCACTGCCAATGTTCCCCTCTCCACCTCCCTCTCCCCCTCCTTCTCCCCCTCCCTCCCCCCCTCCCTCTCCTGCTCCCTCTCCCTCTCCACCCACTTCTCCTCCTCCTTCCCCACCTCCCTCCTCACCTCCCTCTTCTCCTCCCTCTCTTCTCCCTTCTCCCATTCCCTCTCCCTCTCCTTCCCTCCTTTCCCACCCCCGATCATCCAAGCCATCCCCAACCCCATACCCTGCGCGCTGCTGTCCCCAAGCCACAGGAGTGGGCGATGTGAGGGGCGAGTTGGAAGTGAGTGAATCAACACGTGCCAGGCGATGCGAGGGAGGGGACCCCAGGCGGGATGACTTTTGGGTCGACTCAAAAGCCAGGCGATGCGAGGGAGGGGAGTGTGGGCGGCGCTTGGGCGGCGAGAGGGACGGGCGGGACAGGGGAGAGGGAGAGCGGGCAGCAGGCGGGGAGGGAGGACGAGGAGCAGGTTGGGAGGGAGGGCGGCGAGAGGGTGGGGAGAGGGAAGGGCGAGAGGGAGGGGAGAAGGAGGGGCGATAGACAGGGGAGCCAGTGCGTTGCAGCCTAGAAGCACCAGGTGCTGCTGCTGCTGCTGCTGCTGCTGCTGCTGCTGGTGAGTGTAGAGGGGAACGTTCAGGACTTAGTCTCTGTACAGCACCGGCAGCTGCACCGGCAGCACCAGCAGCACCGCCAACAGCAGCAGTAGCAGCTGCTGCAGCAGCTGCTGCCTGTGAGCCAAGGCGAGTGAGTGGAGGGGCAAGAAGGCCCCCCATGCTGCCAAAGCGAAGCAGGTTCTGTAGTTCCCGTCCATCCACTGATGACAGCCGCGCCACTGCTTCCCTCTCATTTCCCCCTCCTCTCCCCGCCCCACCTCCTCCTCCAGTCCCTCCTTCCCCTGCTGCCCCCCCTCCTGCTACCCCTCCCCCTGCTGCTAGTGATCCTAATCTGGAAAGGGGAGGGGCGAGAAGGCCCCCCATACTGCCAAAGCGAAGCAGATTCTGCAACTCCCGCCCATCCACTGACGACAGCCGCGCCATTGCTTCCCTCTCATTTCCACCCCCACCTCCCCCTCCTCCTTCTCCTGCTCCTCCTCCTGCTGCTGTTCCCCCTGCCGCCAGGGACCCTAGTCTGGAAAGTGGAGGGGCTAAAAGCCCCCCCATGCTGCCGAAGCGAAGCAAATTCTGCAACTCTTTCCCTTCTACTGACGACAGCCGTGCCACTGTCCCCCCATCTCCACCCCCTGCTGCTGCTGCTGCTGCTGCCGCCTCCCTTCCCCCTCCTCCTAGCCTCGACAGCCCTCCTGCCTGAATATCCTTGAGGAAAGAAGGGAGCTCATCCAGAGAATCTTGACCGTTGGTTTCAGGTGCCTCCCACGCTCCCATCCACGCCGGCCGCGCGTTGCTGCCGGCTGAAAAGGCCGCATCGCCCACAGCTCCAGAACCACCTGCGGAAACACCTGGCTCTGCTGCTGCAAACCCAAGCGGCAAATCATCATCACCCCCACCCCCACCACCACCACCAGTTGACCCCGCCGCAAGAGCATCTACTCCCTCTGCTTCTGCCTGCATCTGCATCTGCAGAGGGGAGAGTCCCCGCACGCTAGCGAGGTTGCCAGCAGTGGAGGCATCGCTGGGTAAGCGCTCCAACAGGCCCTGCCGGGCCAGCATTCTCCGCGCAAAAATCGGCTGCTCCTGCTGTCGCTGTTGCTGCTGCTGCTGCTGCTGCTGCTGCTGCTGCTGCTGCTGCTGCAACTGCTGCTGCTGGGGTTTCTGCTGCTGCTGTTGTTGCTGGTTCTGTTGTTCCTGCTGATTCTGAATCTGCTGTTGTTGCAGCGACTCGCTCTGCTGCTGCAGGTCTCGCAACATCTGCTCTTCCGCCCGCTTCTGCTCCTCTCGCTCCTCCCGCTCCCTCTGCTCATTCTGCATTCTCAGCAGCTCCTGCTGCTGCTGCTGCCACTTGAGCCGCTCCTGCTGAAGCTGAAGCTGCACCTGCTGCCGCTGCAGCCTCTCCTGCTGCTGCTGCAACAGCATCTGCTGCAGCTTGTTCTGAGCCAATCCTGCCTCTATAGCACCCACATCGTTCCCCAAGCCAGACCCTACAGAATCGGCCACACGCATAGGGTGAATACCCTCGAAACCATTTTCACCCAGCAATGCCCCTGCTCTGTTCAACCCACCGAAACCACCCGAATCAGCAAGATTACCACCTAGTCCTCCTAAACCCCCCCTTCCCAGTGCTTCTGCCCCACCAGTCGCTCCTGCTGCACTCAAACCCCCTCCCAGCCCCCCACCACTTAAAGCGCCAGTACTTAGCCCCCCGGTGCTTAGCCCAGTACCAGCACTTAGGCCTGCACCTGGACTCAACCCAGTACCAGTGCTTAGGCCCATACCTCCACTTAACCCAGGGCCAGTACTTAAACCTACACCGGGACTCAACCCAGTACCAGTGCTTAAATTAGTACCCGTGCTTAAGCCAGTACCAGTGCTGCCAGCGGGGGAAGAGGAGGGGAAACCCCCTGATGATCGGGCAGTGTAGGGCAGGGATGGCCAGGGTTGCAGGTCTAGGTTTGGGGAGGAAGACGGTGGTGTGTGGGCGGGTGAAGGTGCTGAGTGCAGGGGTGAGTGGGTCTGGTGGGTGGGTGATGGGGCGTGGTGCAAGTGCAGTGCTGTGAGCAGGCCAGATGCAGTGGGGGATGTGGGGGAGGAGGTTGGAGCAAGGCCGACTGCCTGCGTGGTGGTGGGGGAATGAGCAGGAGACACCTGCTGCTGCTGCTGCTGCTGCTGCTGCTGCTGCTGCTGCTGCAGAAGGAGCAGCAGCTGAAATTGCTGTTGCTGCAGATGCTGCTGCTGCTGTTGCTGTTCCTGCTCCTGTTGCAGTTGCTGCTGTTGTTGCTGTTGCTGCTGCTGTTGTTGCTGCTGCTGTTGTTGCTGTTGCTGTTGCTGTTGTTGCTGTTGCTGTTGCTGCTGCTGTTGTTGCTGTTGCTGCTGCTGCTGCTGCGGCAGCACTTTTGGCGGGGTAAGGGAGCGAGAGGAGGGAAAGAAAGGGTTGTTCGGGCCAGTAAAAGAGGACCGGCGAGGGATGGGCAGGGGTGCTGACACAGACCTGCCCCCAGAAAGATAAGCAGCAGCAGCAGCAGCAGCAGCAGTCCCAGCAGCATCTGCTTGTGCCTCTGTGCTTGTGCCCGTACCTGCTCCTCCCATACCAATTTCCGCTCCTGCTGCCGTACCTATTCCTGCCACATTCACAGCACCCGTGCCTGTTAGTCCTCCTGCTGCTGCTGTGGCTGTGCTGCTGGTTCGGTTGAGCCGAGGTGCCGGACCAAGCATAGGCACGGCACGTGACAGGTTCGCACCGAACCTGCTGCCAGGAGAAACGGCAGGAGCAGCTCCTCCTACGGGGGAGGGGCCAGGTGAAATGCCAGGTGAAACGCCAGGCGAAACGCCAGGCGAAACGCCAGGTGAAATTCCAGGTGATATGCCAGTGAGGGAAAGGCCAGGAGGAGGGAATCGAGGAGGTAGGGGAACAGGGCAAGTGTGTGGTGCAGTGGTGACGCTGGCTGTGGGACTGGAGTGGGGCGAGCAGGGCTGGTGCGGCGATAAATATGGGGAGCTTGAAGCAGCACCCGCAAGTGCAGTGGCTGCAGCAGCAGCCGCGGAGGCAGTAGCAGCAGTAGCACCAGCACCAGCACCAGCACCAGCAGCAGCAGCGGCAGTGGCAGGGAGAGGAGCAGTGGTGGTGGTAAGTGTTGCTGCAACGAGCTGATCCAATGAGAGACGGTGCTGTCGCTGCAAGGAGTGAGTTCCAGTCCCAGCAGCAACCGCTGTGCTGTCAGCTTCCAGTGGTCCCCCCATGCCAGCTGGTGACACGGCAGCGCCTGCTATTGTTCCCTTGGTGTCTTGCTGTGCCAGGGATCCCGTCCTTCTTATTGAGTGTGCCCCTAACACCTGCTGCTGCTGCTGCTGCTGCTGCTGCTGCTGCTGCTGGTGATGCTGCTGCTGTTGCTGATTGTGCTGGTTATCTTGCTGCTGTTGCTGTTGCTTTGCATGTTGCTGCTGCTCCTGCTCCCGCTCCTGCTGCTGATGCATGTCTTTCATATCATTCAGTTCCCCCCCCTGCAATAGTTGCTGTAATTGCTGCATCTGCTGCAGCTGTTGTAACAGTTCTTCCTGTAACGGTTCATCCGGCAGCATGCCCTCCTGTAACAGCCCTTCCTGAAACGCTTCTGCTTGTAACGGTTCTGTCAGTAGAGGATCTGCTTTTAACGAAGCAGACTCAAGCCCACCCGATGCCCCACCCTTCCCAGCCTCCGCCTCTCGAAACGCTCGAGTCAACCCTCCTTCCACTCGCCGTGCTGCTCCTCCTGCCGCGGCCCTATCCCCCCTTCTTTCTGCTCCTCCTCCCATCCCTCCTTCCATCCCTACTCCCATGCCGCCACCCATCCCTGCTCCCACACCTCCATCCATCCCTCTTCCTGCTCCTCCTACCATCCCCCCTCCTGTTCCTCCTCCGATCCCTCCTCCCATCCCTCCTCCCATCCCTCCACCTGCTCCGCTACTTCCCTCCACAATCGCTCCTCTTCTCCCGCCCACTGCTCTACCCCACTCCATCTGCCCCACCGCCCCCATCCCCATCATGCCACCCCACGACTGGTCCTGCCCTGAAACCGTGCGCGTGAGCGCACTTGATGCTGTCTTGAGCAGTGCTGCGAGGTTCGCAGGTGTTGAGAGCTTTGCTCGCTTGAGGGGAGGGCTAGGGCCTAGCCTATCAGTAGTGCCTGTCACTCCAGGTGCAGGCATGGGCATCTCCCCAGGTGCACCTACCGCCCCACCACCACCACCACCACCACCACCACCACCACCGCCCCCCCCAGCACCACCAGTGCCAGCAATCAAGCCAGGCTCACCCCTCATACCCTCCCCTGCTCCCATCATCCCTTCTCCTCCCAACATTCCTCCTCCTCCCACCATCTCTTCTCCTTCCATCACCCCTTCTCCCTTTGCTCGCATCCCCCCATCTGCTCCCACCATCCCAGTCACTCCCCCCATCACTGCACCATTCCACCCCACAACCCTACCCACACCCTCGTCATCCCTTCTGCCTTGCTTCGGGCCCACACTCCCCCCTACCGACCCATCTCCCCGTCCCGCTCCCTCCCCACCAGTGCTCCCCCCTCCTCCGCCCTCCCCCTTCTCCAGCGCTTTCGCCTCTGCTTCCGCACCTCTCCCCACCCCCTTTTTCCCAGATATCCCCCCTTCCCCCGCTCCTCCCCCCTCCCCAGCCCCTCCCCTGCCTTCCCCACGTCCGCCCCCTTCCCCCTTGCGCCTGCCAGCAGACAGGGAGCGAGATCGAGGGGTGGTGGCGCGGGGGGGGCGGAGGGGGGGGTGGCGGAGCGGGTGCTGGCGGAAGGGGGGGCGGGGGTGGCGGAAGGGGGGCTGGCGGAGGGGGGGGTGGCGGAGCGGGGGGTGGCGGGGCGGCGGGTGAGGCGAATGCGGACGGGCTGCGGGTGGCAGTGGGGGCGCGTGTAGGTGAGCTGCAGGGAGGAGGCGTTGACCCGGTGGATATCCACCACCCGCACCGCTGGACACCTGGGACTGTTCTCAGGGCGGTATGAGCACCGATACACCACCCTGTGGCGATAGAGGGGCGAAGGGAGTACAGAGGCAGTGGGGTAGTTGGGGTAAAGTTTAGGTGAGCTGCAGGGAGGAGGCATTGGAACGGTGGATATCCACCACTCTCACTGCTTGACACCTGGCGCTGCCCTCAGGGCGGTATGAGCACCGATACACCACCCTGTGGGACGGGCAGAGGGAAGGGAGGGGGTACCAGAGGCAGTGAGAGAGGGTTAATAGTGTAGGTGAGCTGCAGGGAGGAGGCTTTGGCGCGGTGGATATCCACCACCCTCACCACTACAGTATGCTGTATGCGCACCGATACACCGCCCAGTGGGGAGTGAGGGGCGGGGAAGGAAGTGGCAGGGATACGTGTAGGTGAGCTGCAGGGAGGGCGCAGATGTACAAGCACACCCCACCCCCCACATGCCACCCCCACGCACCGTATGTACATGGAGTTGACGAGTGGCTTGCGGCGCCTAGGCGGGTCCCACAGGTACCCATCCTCTGGCAGCTGTAGCAGGCCCCCCTTTGCACTGCATGCATAGGCTCACACCAGCCCACCCACCTCCACCACCCACCCCCCCACTCACCGAATGCACTTGGAGTTAACGAGTGGCTTGTGGCGTCTAGGCGGGTCCCACAGGTACCCATCCTCTGGCAGCTGTAGCGCCCACCCTTTTCACCAGATGCATAGACACACGTTCCCCCCACCACCCACCCCCACCCACCACCCAACCCCCCACCACTCCCCCCCCACCCCCCTCCCCCTCCCCCCCCCACTCACCGAATGTACATGGAGTTAACAAGTGGCTTGTGGCGTCTGGGCGGGTCCCACAGGTACCCGTCCTCTGGCAGCTGCAGAGACCGCCAGCTCCGCTCATCCCCCTCCGCCTGCTGTGCGCCCTCCCTGCCACCCTCCCCTTGCCCCTCCCCGTCCCCTTCCTCCTCGCCCTCCCCCTCGTCATCCATGCCCACCAGAATCTCCTCTCCGCGGCTCAGCATGGCTTCGAATGTTCTGTCACGATGGGCGAGGGGTGAAGAGGAGGAGCAGGGGAGAGAGAAGACACAGGGACGAGTCACTTCACTTCCTCCTCGCCCTCCCCCTCGTCATCCATGCCCACCAGGATCTCCTCCCCGCGGCTCAGCATGGCTTCGAAAGTTCTGTCACGATGGCGAGTCGTGCAGGGGGCGTCCAGACCAGACCAGACCAGACCAGACCAGACCAGACCAGACCAGACCAGACCAGACCAGACCAGACCAGACCAGACCAGACCAGACCAGACCAGACCAGACCAGGGGTGAAGGGAGAAGGGACAGGGACGAGTCAATTCACTTGCTGAAAGCAGATGAGGCACAGCACAGCTCAGTACAGCATTTTAGTCAAACTCGAATTCCAAGCCCAAACTACACAAGCGCAGCAACGCACTCACTTGTAATCCAGGTCCTGCCCTGTCCCTTCACCCCCATCCACCCCCTCCTCTCCCTCCCCCACCGCTTCCTCCCCAAACTGCATTGAATTCCGCGCATCCCGCCTCGCTGCCAGTGGGAGAGACTGGCCTTCCCCAGCTGCACCTCCATCCAACCTCGACTCCCCATTCCCCCCCGCACCATCCCCCATCACAGCACCCGCCGCCTCAGCAGCAGCGACGGCAGCAGCGGCAGCAGCAGCCATGCTCTGAGAAGACTCCGACATATCCCGGGGCGGAGTGACAGAGCGCTGGATGGTGGGTGAGGCGGGGGAGAGCCCAGCGTGGTTGTGGCGGCCGTGGTACCCCACGCGGATCTCGTGCGGGTTGGAGGGGTGCCGGTCTACCAGCTTGCGCGCCGGGCATGACCCCTTGGCCGCGCTGCAGTAGCTGCACCGGTAGTACGACCTTGTAACGGGGATAAAATGGGGGAGGGAGATTGCGGGATTAGTTGTATGCAGGGTGAGGTGGCCATGATTGAGAGTGGAGTGGCGGGATGGGGTTCTCCTTAATCCGCGATATATGCTTGGGCCTCGTTATAAGCACTCACCGCACGAAGCTGGAGTGCAGCAGCACCTTCTGCCCGTACTTGGTCCACCGGTGTCCGTCGAACACCACATCTGTCTGCCGCTTCGACTCCTGCCCCACGTCCACCCCCATCCTTTCGTTAACCAATCCGCGACCGACACGCTGCACGGGCCTAGGCGTCGAAACGCTCGCGCCGCTCCGCTACCTACGAAATGGCATCGGAGACGTTAACTATTCGTCAGGTATATGTATTCGTCAACTAATCATCTGCACCCGTGACTCGATATAACATCCAGCTCGATATCGCCTCGCATTCTTGTCGTTACTCTCCCAATCGCGATAGCTGGAAACGACTGCTTCCGGAACGCGAATGTTCGCACGCGATTGCTTTAGGACGATCGCTCCAGTCGACCGCAATCGACGGATCCGCGCGGAAGGACTCAAAGCATCCTCAGGAGTGGAGGAATCTAGCTTTCTTGTGTCGAATAAAGTTAATAATTCGCTTCAAACGCGCCGACAAAGGTCGCATTCTGTTTGTCACGACGGTCGCCATACTGCCGCATTACGTTACCACGACTCGCGCCGAAGGCGAAGCGAGCTTTATCAAGAGGTGGTCAGGACTAAGAAGCTCGATCAGGCAGCAGAGTTCGCGCTCGGAAAAGCAACAACGGAGCCGTGAACTAATGCGAGAAAGCCAGTCTTACTCAACCTGGGAACAGGTTGTTTGAGATGAGAAGTAATTGACGAACTGAGACCGCGTCACCGTGGACCGCGGCTTGAGAAGGCGACAATAGTCGTGATTCTGCACAACTTGGCAAACTTCTTCCGAACGGCGTGTGAGAAAATCACGCGGAATAAGAAATGATGATGGAATGGAGGAGCCAGAGTGTTGCGCTGTGACTGATGGGAGACTGATGGTTTGCCCGCACTACGCGTTGCGCTTTCTGTCGACTGTGAGTCACTGGCACGTTTCCAGGCGTGATGGGTTTTGGTTTGGTGGCCTCTACCTAGGGAATCACGAACTTGCATCCGAACCGAGAGTGGCTGTATGAAGTGCGGAAGCAATCTCAGACCAGAGCCCAGCCAATTGAAAAGCGTGACGGAGGGACGTTCGGAACATGCCAAACGAACCGGTGTGCTTGGTCCCCAACCAAACCTAGCTGGAGGCAGACCAGCAAATCCCCAACCCAGCTACCAGCCACTATTCTTCACACGATAACCCGATAAAGCGTTCGAAGCAGAATATGTGCTGCGTAAATGTACGAATTTCTGTTTGTGGAGAAACTCTGTAACGAGAACAATGAGCACACAGCTGCAAGCGCTACACTGTGGGTAGGTGGCAAATAGAATGCTTTCGCCTCATACCTTATCGAGACGAGACTGGTATATGTTGTTTCCAATATTTACCCACCAGTCGAGCCCGGAGGTTCCACGCGCTAATGTTGTTCTTCTAGTTGCTCCGCTCGCCTGTTAGCACGCACGCGCCATTTTTAGCGTGCGTGTGCACCTCGCGTCATGGCTCGAACGCCTCGGAATCGGCAGCAGCAGCAGTCTGGCTTCGCGCGAGCAGCACAGCCCGACCGACCGACGGAGGTCGTCGCGAAACGTTCCAGCGCAACGAAAGCAACGGTTTCGCGAAGAACGTTACACGATTCGCCTTCGTCGTCTCCTTCGCCTCACCTGCCATCCCTCGCCTCACCCGTCTCCTCCCCTTCGTCCTCGTCCCACGGCCCCCCCAATGCAGGCGAAAATAATAAGTCCCATTTTAGAGGAGCCATGAGTCCGATATACGGCAAGCGAACTTTCACTACAGTCACACCCGCCCCTGCGAAAACAAAATCCCCCGTTAGAAGCGACGGCTTGATCCGCGCGCTGCTACTGTACGGCGTGGCGTCGCTCATCCTCCTCCTCGTTCTTATAGGCGAATTGCACCGATCCCACGTGGCTTCATTAGCGACCAATCCTGGCTCGCAGCGGCACCCTCGCTTTAGTCACAGCCACCATACGGGCAGCAAAGAGCAGAGTCAACAAAGTCAACGCAGTCAACCGCAGTACCCGTGGCATGTGCGGATCAAGCATGGCATGTTCCGGAAATTCCCCTCTGGCTTCCCACATTCTCACTCTCACGCTGACGCTCAGTCGGCCTCTGAAGAGGATGCTCGTGCTCGTGCCTTGGGAACATCTCAACACACGTTGGACCCAGCGGTACGTTACATTCCTTCCCCCCTCGTTACGTCCAATTCCCCCCTGTTGCATCCCCGCCCTTCCACGCACCCCCTCTTCCTTCCTCGTTACATTTCGTCCCTCCCCGTTACATCTCCAACACGTGCCTTCTGCTGAAACTGCTTGTCCCGGACGTCCTTTACATTTCTGACCCCCGGTTACATCTCTCTGACCCGCCGTTTCATGTGTGTACCCCTTGCGACAGCCAGAGCCTCAGCGATTGGCTGCGGGCGCATGGGTGGCGCATCAGCAACCCGCTCCCCGACCCCGCATTCCGGGAGCAGGTTGAGGAGGGGGAGGAGGAGGGCGGGTGGGGCGCTCTTATGAAGGAACAGCAGCAGCAGGAGCAGGAGAACAGTGGGCTTGGGAAGGATAGTGATGGTGATGGTGGTGATGATGGTGCTGGTGGTACGAGTATTGATAACGCTGCTGCTGCTGCCGCTGCTGCGGCCAGTGCAAGCAGGCCCGTCACCGACTCACTATCAGCCGACTCGATACCAGCAGAGGCCAACGCGACTTTCTTGCGCGTGCTGCAGCAGCAAGGCGACTACGCGTGTGCGCTGTGGGTGCGCAACGTGTGCTACGCCTTCAACCCGCTCTTCCACTCCGTGCCCGTCGCCAACCACGAGGTCGAAAAGATCATGCTGCGCGAGCGAATCACGGACCGCCACGTGGGCGTGTGGTTCTGGAAGGACCCCAGGTACGACCTGTCCCGGTTGAACCTGTCTGAGAACATCTGCACGGGGAAATCAGCTCTCCCACCGCTGAAAAAGGAGCACTTCTCGAGTGCGGACGTGCGGGATTTGCCGGAGCTGAGTGGGCGTGTGGGGCCGTTTGTTCATGCCAGTGATGCTGAGCTCTTCTTTCTTCACGGCCGCCCTCCTGCTGACACCAGCGGCAGCAGCAGCAGCAGCAGCAGCAGCAGCAGCAGCAGCAGCAGCAGCAGCAGCAGCAGCAGCACGATTACTAGCAGCAGCAGTGGTGGTGGTTTCTCGAGTAGTGCGTTCACGACCAACAACATGTCGTTTGCCATATCAGCGGAGCGGCCAGAGCAGTGGCGGGGCGTGGGCGTGGTGTCGCTGCGGGACGGCCACCTGGGGCACTTCGTGGAGTTCATAGGCGCCATGACTGAGCTGGCTAGACACCTGCCCACTGGTGTGACGGATAGGGACGTGCCAGGATCGCAACAGGCAGCGGCAGGCGCAGAAGTGCCAGGCAGGGAGGTGGCATCTGGGGGAGGGACGGCTGCTGCTGCTGCTGCTGCTGGTGACAGTGCTGGTAGTGCTGATGCCGGTGCTGATGATGCTGCTGGTGCCAGTGGTGGTACTGCTGACACTAGTGGTGCGGCTGCTGCTGCTGCTGGGGGTGGTGGAAAGGAGGGGGACAGGATTGACGTGCACCCAGTGCTCTTCTTCCCAAGTGGGTGAGTGAGTGCTCTGCTTCTCTCGTCTCTCCTTCCCTTCTCTCCTTCCCTTTTTTCTTTCCCATCTTCCCATCTCCACATCCCTCCTTCCTCCCCTCATTCTCCTCCTCTTTTTCCCTCCTCTCACTCGTCTCGCTTCCCTTTCCTGCCCTCCTCCTCTACCCACCCCTCTCAGTGCGGGAATATCAAGATGGGTGGCAGCAGCAGGTTCGGTTGCCATGCGCGGCCCTCAAGCCATGCGGGACTATCAGTTTCAAGGCATGAGAGTCCCCCAAACCTTGCGGGAGCATCAAGGCACGAAAGACCACACAGGCATGCGAGGGCTGAAGGGCACGAGGCAGCAGAAGAAGCAGGGGGATGTAGACGCAGCAGGGGCAGCAGAGGCAGCAGGGGCGGCAGAGGCAGCAGGGCGAGAAGCAGTTACAGCAGCAGGGGCCGCAGTGGCAGCAGAATCACCGCCAGCAGTGGAGGCAGGGCGGGTGTGGACGCACACGACGTGCTTCCAGGACTTGTTCTTCCCGCTCTCCATCGCCCACGCGCCCTCCTCCGCTGACCTCTTCCGCCTCTGGGTCGCGCAGGGCGCCGGGCTTGGCGAGACGCTTAAAGCCCAGCAGGCTGATCCGAGGGTTTGGACGGATGAGATTGAACGGGTGGGAGGGGGGGGTGGACGGAGAGGGGAGCGTGGGGCAGGGGGTGAAAGAGAAGGGGGAGGGAGACGGGGAGGTGGAGGGGGTGGGGGATTGCGGAGGGGTGGTGTGAAGGATGCAGTGAGGAAGGGGGCGGGGAAGGTGGTGGAAAAGCAGGGTGTGGATGACAAGAATCGAGGGAGAAAAGGGGAAGAAAAAGGAGGGAGGAGCAGTGGAGGAGGTGAGAGGAAAGTTGAAAAGGGAGGGAGGAGCGGTGGGGGGGATAAGAAAGATGAGAAAAAGGGGAAGAACAATGGGGGAGGTGAGAAGAAAGTCAAGGCAAGTGTGATTGGTGGGGTGGGGAGGAAGGGGGCAGATAGACACAATGAAAAGGGTGGGGGAGGTGGAGATGGCGGGAATGTGGGGAAGAGGAGGAACGAGAGAAAGGAGGGTAAGGAGAGTAAGGAGGGTAAAGCTGGAAAGAACGTGGGAGACGGGAAAACTAGTCGGCCTGGCAAAGGAAGGGAGAGAAAAGGGGTGGTTTCAGGTGCTTCAGGTGCTTCAGGTGCTTCAGGTGCCAGAAGAGTCACAGCAAGCAGAGGCAGTGTGAATCCACACATAAGCAGACACCTGCTGCAGCTGCAGGTAGACACGCGAAACCAGAGCATGGCAAGCACAAGATACCCTCCTCTCAGGCGTCTTAAAGCGGAGAGCGCAGATGGGAGCAGCAGAGAGCTGCAGCAACAGCAGCGGCGGCGGCAGCAGCAGCCGGGGCGTGGGGAGAGTGGGATTCGGGCAGCAGGCAGGAGGGTGGCGTGGCAGATAACGGTGGTGGAGCGCAGGGGCGTGCGCAGCATCAGCAACTTTCGCCCCATGGTGGGCCTGCTCAGGGCCGTGTTTCCCCGCCTGCCTGTGAAGGTCGTCTCTCTGGAGGTACATTCAACTGTCAACTCTCTTCCCTTCTCCTCCATTGCAGTCCACTCAGGTCCTTCCCTTTCCTCAGAGCTGTCTGTCTGTCAAGGTCGTGCCTCCTGTTTCAGAGACTTCCCTGTAGGAAGCAGGTAACCTGCTCTTTCTACTTTTGAAACGTCTCAAGGTTCTCAGACACTTCCCTCTAAGAAGCGGGTTACCTGTTCCCTCTACCTGTTCTCTCTCAGATCCCTTCCTCTTGGCTCCCTCCGTACCGTCCCCACGTGCAGGCCATGCCGTTTGTCGCCCAGGTGCGGGCGATGCACCGGACGGCGTTGCTTGTCTCGATGCACGGGGCGTCCATGGCCAATGTGGTGCTGCTGCAGAAAGGGGCGGCAGCACTTGAGATCATGCCATACATGTGGCACTATGGCGCGTACAAGCGGTAAGTGGTGGGGGGTGAAGAGGGAAGAAGGGAGAGTGCAAGAGGGAGGTATGTGTTGGGGTGTGTGTGTGGTGTCTCTAGAAGCTGCAGATCATGCCGGACATGTGGCACTATGGCGCATACAAACGGTAAGTGCAGGGAGAGTGTGGAAGAGGAAACATTGTGGGGTTAGGGAACTTGCAAGTTTGGGAATCTTCTGCCGCTGTTTGGTGTTGGCTCCTTGACCCTTTCTACCTGTGCAGCTTTGCACTGCGCTGGGGGTGTGCATTACTTCATGTGACTTATCTCTGTATGTCCTTCCCCCACCGCATCGCACCCCGCTGCACACCCGTCCTTCCATTCCGCTGCAGCATAGCGCTGCGGTGGGGAGTGCACTACTACATGTGGCGCAACGAGCATCGCAACCTCTCCACCTGCATGACAACTGCCTGTGTCTCCTTCACACCCTCCTCATCTTGTGACTCTACCTGTGTTCTCCACCCCATCCTCTCCAGCATAGCGCTGCGGTGGGGAGTGCACTACTTCATGTGGCGCAACTGACTGTATCCACCTGTGTCTTCCTCCCATCCATCCTCTCCAGCATTGCCCTGCGCTGCGGAGTGCACTACTTCATGTGGCGCAACTGACTTGTCTCTGTATGTCCTTCCCCCACCACATCGCACCCCACTGCACACCCTTGTCCTTCCATGTCGCTGCAGCATCGCACTGCGGTGGGGAGTGCACTACTACATGTGGCGCAACTGACTGTATCCACCTGTGTCTTCCTCCCATCCTTCCTCTCCAGCATTGCCCTGCGGTGGGGAGTGCACTACTACATGTGGCGCAACGAGCATCGCAACCTCTCCATCTACACCGACAACTGCCTCGACGCCAACGGCTTCAGCCAATGGCAGCCCGCCAAGTGTCACACGGTCACGGCCTGCAGGGCGTGCATTCGAGATAAGGTGGTCACGGAGGTGCACCTGGGGGAGCTAAGATCTGCTCTGCTGGTTGCCAAGGAGGTGGTTGACCAATGGGAGCTTAGGAGGGGGCGATCCTTTGTAGAGCTGTCTGATGAATTGACTGCAGATGGGTAGAGTGTAGTTAGTGATGAGGAAATGAGCGAATGATTAAACGAGAATGCGGAAATGAGCGAATGATCACATCGAGAAATGAGCCAATGAGCTGTATACTGTGTAAAGTCGCGTACGGTACGTGGAGGAGACGCCATGTCATGTCACACGCCAGCGCGTCACGTTCCCACACCTTGCCTTTTCATCACCAACACAATAAGGAGGTAACTGTGTAGCAAGCACCCTGGATGATGGATGGTTGGAGGGCAAGTTCCTGTCACTGCCACTACTACTGCAGTGTTATAATGTACCAGGTTCCTGCCACAGTCACTACTGCAGTGTTATAATGTCCCAGGTTTCTGTCACTGCCACTACTACTGCAGTGTTATAATGTCACAGGTTCCAGCCACTGCCACTACTGCTGCAGTGTTACGGTATAATGTCCCAGGTTTCTGTCACTGCCACTACTACTGCAGTGTTATAATGTCCCAGGTTCCTGCCACTGCCACTACTGCTGCATGTCCCAGGTTCCTGTCACTGCCAATCTGTTGCAGTGTTATAATGTCATAGGTTCTTGCCACTGCTGCCACTGCAGCAGAAAGCACAGCAAGGAGCATGGTAGCATAGGAAGAAAGCAGGTCAAGGTGGGCATTAGAGCAGAAGCAGTGGAGAGCAAGACTGAAAAACTCGAAACTTAAACATAAGCAAAATTCGAGTTGAGGGAGGGGGAGGGAGGAGGGGGGGGGAGGGGGAGGGAGGAGGGGGGGGAGAGGGGGAGGGAAAACGGGGAAGGCGCATGGCGACAGTGGCCCACGGCACTAGAGCAGCGAGCTGAGCCAGCGAGGGGGGACTGGGGGACGCACGCATGGCATGAATGCACTCCCTCTCCACTACTCTATCCCACCACTCCCACTACACTGCACTCTACATGAGCTCTGCTGCCATAGCACCACGGACCACCACCACCATGCGCCAAGGGACGAATGCGAGCGATGGATGATGGGGAGTGCGTAGAGGAAACTTAGCTAAGGAGAAGCGAGGAGGCTGATAGGGACTCGTCTAAGGCAGCAGCTCGTCCCCGTTCCGCACACCGTCGTGCACAGCAGGTAAGAAGCACGAAGAAAAGCCTAAGGGAAAGGGAAAGAGCAGGATAGAGGGGGAAGTAGGAGAAGGAAGCAAGAAGGAGCAGGAGGGAGGAGGGAGGGGCTACGGGAGGCGGTTTTGTCATGCTGGTTCAGTCATGCTGGTTCAGTCATGCGGGTTCTGTCATGCGGGTTCTGTCATGCCATGTACCACAGCAAGCCAGACACATTGAGTGCAGCACAAAGAGACACCAGGCAGAGCAGACAGAATGCAGCAGAGAGAGCAAGCAACAGCAATTGACAGAGCGAAGAGCAAAGAGAGGGCGAGTGCAGTGAAAGGGGAGATCAGGTGCAGTGAAAGGGATGCATATCGTACCACAATAGGGACTTGTGTTGACTGCCCATGCTGCTGCAGCCACCGCTGTGCGTGCCTGGCTTGCATCGTCCCACTGCCACCCCTCCGGGCTTGCTTGTATCATAACAGCAGCAGTAACGAGGACTGGAGTTGACTGGCGTTGACTGATTCTTACTGCCGTGCTGCTGCTATGCTGCTGCTCTGTCGCCTGCAAAGGGAATAGGGCAGGGTAGAGGGCAGAGGGCAGAGGGCAGGGTAGAGGGCAGAGGGCAGAGGGAAGGGCAGAGGGCAGAGGGTAGAGGACAGAGGGAAGACAATGAAGTGGAAATGAGTGCAGCAGAAAGCGCAGGAAGGAATGGAGTAGCTTTGGAGGCAAAAACTCAGATGTGGGAAGAAAGCAGGTCAAGGTGGCCAATCGAGCAGAAGCATTAGAGAGCAAGAGTGGGAACTCGAAACTTGAGTGGTGGGAAACGGGGATGGCGCATGGCGCATGGCGACAGTGGCCTCAGAAACCGAAGGACGCGGCAGTGAAAGAGAGGGATGGGGATAGCGAAGGAGAAAGGGAGGGGAGGACGGGTGAGCGGAGAGGAGACTAAGCTACAGGAGAAGCGTGGACGCAGAGAGTGAGTCGTCCAGAGGAGCAGAAATCCTCCCGGGCGACAGCAGCAAGCAGCAGCGTCCCTCGCAGCTCTCCACCATCAGATGAGCATGGCGTGCCATTGGGTTGCTGATGTCTAGTGCACACGGCCGCAAACAGAAGCAGCACTCATGGTCGCTGGGCGTGTGAGGGAGCGGCGTGGTCAGCAGGGCATGCAGGAGGCACGCACGCCGCTGTGACTGCCTGCCGTGCGTCATCCCACCGCCCTCCCTCCCCGCACCACGCTGCCACAGCCCTGTGCGAGAGGGAGAAAGTTTCGGAGAGGGAAGGGAGCGAGTGGGAGAGAGGAGAGAAGGCACTAGGGGGCAGGAATTGGAGAAGATAGGCGTGATTGACAAATTGTAGAGCAGCAGGGATAACGGGAGGAAAACAAAACGGAGGCAAAACACTGTGAGAGTATAAGCTGGAAGTTAAACAACAGGTGGCACAGTGAAAGGGTAGGCGATGGTAGCTCATGGCACTAGGTTGGCGAGCTAGCAGGCAAGGGGGACGAGACGCGGGCGTGAGTGTGAGTGCATTCTAACCCTCTAGGACTCTAGTGTGAGCTCAAGCCGCCCCAGTGCCATGTGCTACCATCGCCACGCGAACGTTTTTAATACCTTCATGCGAAGGCGGCGTTTTGGTTCGAAGCATGCTTGAAAAGAGAGGCTGGGCAAATGTGAACACGAATTACAAGGTAAAGCGGCGGTAAGGATGGCAAGGGTTGAGGAGGGAACTTAGCGGGATTCAGAAGCTGCTCGTCGCCTTGTTAATGCCAGCAGCAGCCCTCCCAGCAGCAACACTCCCAGCAGAAACACTCCCAGAAGCAGCACTCATGGTCGCTGGGCGCGTGAGGGAGCGGCGTGGTCAGCAGGGCATGCAGGAGGCACGCACGCCGCTGTGACTGCCTGCCGTGCGTCATCCCACCGCCCTCCCTCCCCGCACCACGCTGCCACAGCCCTGTGCGAGAGGGGGAAAGTTTCGGAGGAGGAAGGGAGCGAGTGGGAGAGAGGAGAGAAGGCAGAAGGGGGCAGGAATTGAAGAAGTTAGTCTAATATAAGCATGGGCGTGATTGATAAATCGTAAAGCGGAAGGGATAACGGGAGGAAAAGCTGGAAGTTAAACAACAGGTGGCACAGTGAAAGGGTAGGCGATGGTAGCTCATGGCACTAGGTTGGCGAGCTAGCAGGCAAGGGGGACGAGACGCGGGCGTGAGTGTGAGTGCATTCTAACCCTCTAGGACTCTAGTGTGAGCTCAAGCCGCCCCAGTGCCATGCGCTACCATCGCAACGAGAACGTTTTTAATACCATCATGCGATGGCGGCGTTTTGGTTTGAAGCATGCTTGAAAAGAGAGGCTGGGCAAATGTGAACACGAATTACAAGGTAAAGCGGCGGTAAGGAAGGCAAGAGTTGAGGAGGGAACTTAGCGGGATTCAGAAGCTGCTCGTCGCCTTGTTAATGCCAGCAGCAGCCCTCCCAGCAGCGACACTCGCAGCAGAAACACTCCCAGCAGCAGCACTCAAGGTCGCTGGGCGCGTGAGGGAGCGGCGTGGTCAGCAGGGCATGCAGGAGGCACGCACGCCGCTGTGACTGCCTGCCGTGCGTCATCCCACCGCCCTCCCTCCCCGCACCACGCTGCCACAGCCCTGTGCGAGAGGGGGAAAGTTTTGGAGAGGGAAGGGAGCGAGTGGGAGAGAGGAGAGAAGGCAGAAGGGGGCAGGAATTGAGGAAGTTAGTCAAATATAAGCATTGGGGGTCATTAAAAAAATGTAAATGCGGCAGGGATAACGGGAGGAAAACAAAACGGAGGCTGGAAGCTAAACAACAGGTGGCACAGTGAAAGGGTAGGCGATGGTAGCTCATGGCACTAGGTTGGCGAGCTAGCAGGCAAGGGGGACGAGACGCGGGCGTGAGTGTGAGTGCATTCTAACCCTCTAGGACTCTAGTGTGAGCTCAAGCCGCCCCAGTGCCATGTGCTACCATCGCCACGCGAACGTTTTTAATACCTTCATGCGAAGGCAGTGTTTTGGTTCGAAGCATGCTTGAAAAGAGGAGCTGGGCAAATGTGAACACGAATTACAAGGTAAAGCGGCGGTAAGGATGGCAAGGGTTGAGGAGGGAACTTAGCGGGATTCAGAAGCTGCTCGTCGCCTTGTTAATGCCAGCAGCAGCCCTCCCAGCAGCAACACTCCCAGCAGAAACACTCCCAGAAGCAGCACTCATGTTCGCTGGGCGCGTGAGGGAGCGACGTGGTCAGCAGGGCATGCAGGAGGCACGCACGCCACCGCTGCTCTACCGCCGGCGCTGCTCTACCGCCGCTGCTCCATTCGCCCTGAGACCTGAGCATGGTGGAGGAGGAGGAACAGAGGGCAGGTAACGAACTGAGAATAAATGAAGCAGCAAGCATGGCGTGGATGCGCATGTGTATTACAGCGAGAATCGAGAGGTTCGTTGGGGGGAGGGGAGGGGGAATGGGGAAGGCGCATGGCGACAGTGGCCCACGGCACTAGAGCAGCGAGCTGAGCCAGCGAGGGGGGACTGGGGGACGCACGCATGGCATGAATGCACTCCCTCTCCACTACTCTATCCCACCACTCCCACTACACTGCACTCTACATGAGCTCTGCTGCCATAGCACCACGGACCACCACCACCATGCGCCAAGGGACAAATGTGCCTTGAGATTTTCCAATTATGAAAGAGCGAGGGAGGATGGGGGGTGCGTAGAGGGAACTTAGCTAAGGAGTGTGTAGAGGCTGAAAGTGACTCGCCCAAGGCAGCAGCAGCAAGCAGCAGCATCGCCGCTCCGCAACCGTCGCGCGCAGCAACTTGCCGTTCCGCACACCGTCGCGCGCAGCAACCCGCCGTTCCGCACACTGTCGTGCGCAGCAACCCGCCGTTCCGCACACTGTCGCGCGCAGCAACCCGCCGTTCCGCACACCGTCGCG